GAGGGGGAGGGGGAGGGGGATCAATGATGAGAGTCATTGATCAGCTGCCTCCTGCACGCCCCCTGCTGGGGATCAGGCCCACAACCCGGGCATGTGCCCTGATGGGGAATCGAACTGCAGTCTCCTGGATCATAGGTTGATGCTCAACCGCTGAGCCATGCTGGCCGGACAGATGTTTGCATTTTAAACCACATGCCCAGTTACAGAGTGAAGGACATTATGTCGCTGAGAAGGTAGAGGAGGCACTTTGGTGAGAAGAGGGGAGTTTGGTCCTAGCTTTGGTGCCTAGGTATTTGGCCAGGGAAATAGCCCATAGTCAGGTGGACATGCAAAGACTACTCATGCTTGCAAAGCTGCTCTATTGAATGTGTGCATGATGTACATGGATGGGTAGCTTTTTATGTCGAATTAAATAGTCCACAGAATACTCCATTGATCATGTAGCCCCACAGGGGGAAAATGTAGTACATACCCCATTGGAATACAAAAAAAATGCTGAATTCTTTTCAGTGACAAAATGGGTTTGGATAAAATAGAACTGACTGAGAAATAATCTTGCTAAAGTGACTGTTTCTGTGGTTTGAATTGGCAGAAAAGTGTGCGTATTGGGGAATTATCTAATTGTGATTATCAGATTACTATGATTGCCCAGGAAAGTATTTTGATGTATTTCAAATAACAATATAAAAAGAGATGGCAGATGCATTTCCAAGCCATGAATTTTTTTATTTTTCTTTCTTTTCTTTCTTTTCCCTCCCTCCCTTCCTTGTTTTCCTTCTCTCTCTTTTCTTGCTCTTTTTTCCTTCCTTCTTTAAGTTTTAGTTTTTCTTAATTATCTAATACTTAAAGATTTAGAATGTATAAAATGCAAAAAGAAATATTAACATTGCCTATAACACTGCCAAATGACTAGTATAAAACCATTTATGGTCTGTTAAAACTTCAGAATTTGTTTTTATTTCTAAGCATATTTTTATTATAAAATTAAAATCATGCTACATACGTAATTTTTATCTCACTCTTAGCTGAAATATGATATTGCATATTTCATGTCATTAAATTCTCTTCATACACATAATTTTCATTGCTGTGTATTACATGTTCTAAACATGCTTTCACCTCTCCAATCAATTTCGACTTTGTAGGCACTTAAGTTATTTCTAATGGCTTTTTAATTGTAAGTGATGTTATAGTGAACATTTGTGATCATAAGTCTTGGTTAACATTTCTGGTTATTTCCTTATAATAGATCCTTAGCATGGGCGTTAACAATTTAGATATTTAACAGTTTTGAACTTCTTAATATGTATGGTCAGATTTCTTTCCAGAAAGGTTACACCAGTTTACCATCTTGCCAGCAGTGTATCAGAGTCATCTTGCTATAGTACCCTGATGATCAACATGTATTTCATCACTAAATGTCTGGCTAATGTAATAGTGTAAAAATGCTTGATTTCTATTTCTGATTGCTGATAAAGCAGTACTTTCTTCCCTTGTTTATTAGTCATTTGCATTTTTTATTTAATGACCTTTATCTTGGGCATCTCATGGTGTTTTTACTGAAAAGTTTAAAGACATAGGTTAAAGAACATCAACCCTTTGTAACATCATCTAGAAGCATTATTCTCACATTTGTTAGCAGCTTTATGAGAATTTTTGAAGTAGTCAAGTCTTGAAATTTGCTTAATCAAATTATTTGTCATTTTCATTGTCGTCTTTAATTGCATTATATGTTTAGAAAGCCCTTCCTTACCCAGAGAGCAGATAAATATTCCCACCCTTTTTAGTTGTGTAAGTGGTTTGATTTTACAATAATTAAACTCTAAACTATGTGAGTTTGATTTTTCTCTGTCGTGTGTAGTGAGGTTCTATATTGATTAGGTTACATATTTTTCCCAAATAACTAGCCAATTATTGTCCTAGTACCAAGTATTGGTTTGTGCCACTCCATAAGGTCCCTTTGGCTTTCTCTCTCTCAAATCCAATCACAGGAACTGTCTTCTAGAACAATTCTCAGCCTTATTGTGAATGGTTTCCTAGGAAGCATTTCTTATCTCCCAGCCTCTTGGCTGTCATGCTTTGTCTTACATGTGACTCAATGATGTCATCTGATCATATTCCCAGGAACTTGTATTTCTTTTGGCAGAATAGTTCATTTAGGCTGAGTTACTCAGCAAGACTGGGAAAGATGATTGAGGTTTTACTCCCAAGGAACTTAATTTCTCCTTCACATCACAATAGCCATGAGAAGAAGAGTCAGGAAGAAGCTTCTTGCGTTTGTGGCACAGAGCCAGATCCTTTATCACTTCAAGCTGTGGGGCGGGGCACCCCCCAGCCAGCTCTGAGGAGATGCAGTTTGAAACTCTTGGTTATTTCTAATGGAAAACCCTAATTAATTGAAAAGATATTTTAAGGCTTCTCTGTGAGGCTTTCTTCATTGTTAACATTCTGGAGGGCAGAGAAATGTTTTACAAATGGCCATCTGTGCTCTTGGGTAGCTCAGGAACATGGGAAAGTTGAAGAGAAACCACTTGGGAGAGCCTTGACCATCTTATGTGGCCACGTAGAATTGATTCTAAAAATTGATTTGATACATTAGATGAATATTTTATGAGTATTTTAAAAAATATATATCTTTATTGACTTCAGAGAGAGGCAGGGAGAGGGAGAGAGAGAAACATCAATTATAAGAGAGTCATTGTTCGGTTGCCTCCTGCACGCCCCCCACCAGGGATCAAGCCCACAACCCGGGCATGTGCCCTGGGGTACTGGTCAACCGCTGGGCCACGCCAGCCGGACTATACTGTAATCTTGTATGTAAGCATGGGTTCTTCTGGCACACCCCAGTACACCTGTGCCAGGGACATGTAGCAGGGGTCTCTTCTGTTTCGTTAGTGACTTTGTTCTACCAGTTGTAAAATACTTTCACTATTACCCCTGATTATACCTCTAGAAAAATCAGAAAAGGGGTATGCATAAACAAAACCATGATTCTTTCAATATAAATTGTATTACTTGAGATTCATGTAATTAAACCCAAAACACATTTTTATGATAATTTTGCTGTTTTGTCCATGTTGAGAATCTAGAACTTTTTATGAAGGTTAAATGTTTACTATTGAATGTTTAAAATTTTTTAAATATAATAAAACCTAGTAGTGAACACTGGCTAAAAAGACCTAACTTTAATATATCATCTCTATAATTTTTAAAAATTTAGTTATCTAATTAGTCCTCTGAACAATCAATTTTTGAAGTACAGTATGTAGCATTTGTCAACTGAGATATTTAAGTGGAAGTTTAATTTAAATCTCTTTAGATTCAGTGTTGCCCTAAAATATGACATCTATTTTCACCGTTAATTTTTTTCCATCAATGAACCACCCATCTTCTTAAAAAGCCACATCTATTATTGGTAAAAAAGACATGATGCCCTTTTTAAAGTGTAATAGTTATTAGACAAGTGAAGTGCATAGGGAGAAATACTATATGGTCCCCATCCTCACCTTAAGGTTGTGTGCAGTAAAACATAAGGTGTCCTTCCATTCTTAGCAATTGTTGTCCTAAGCAGAAACTTGAAAAATTTATAATTGGGCCAACGATGTCACCAAAGGTATATGTCTGATTCCTCCCTCGCTTATCAGAAATATGAAGACTTTCGCAAGTAGAATGTTAGATTCCCTTTTAACCAGATGTTAGATTGAATCAGTAGGTTTCGTAACTTTCATTAGAACATCCCCCAAGTGAATTAAAACCAGAATGTAACATGCCCACGTTCTCATGTGGTTTGGCTCTTGAGCCACTGAAATTTATTTTGAGCAACCCTTAGCCACTCCCCAGATGGACAGCTCCTCCTTATCTCAGAGCCTGAACACTGAGTTAAATCTACAGTGAATATTCTGACACCACAATAATATCAAGTGGACAAAGCAGTAAAAAATAGCCTGCAAAGAATAGCATCCTGGTCTCCTCACTACTTTTATTAAAGCTAATTTTGAAAATAGTCTCAGGAGGAAGTTAGTATGATGCAGGGCAGTGCAGTCCCTCATCCTGAGTGGCAGCTGCCACTGTGGTTATTTCTGGATAAGCAGAGGCTTTCCCAAATCGGGACTAAAAAGCTGAACTGATCACCAGGACATTGCCTTTTACCACTTCAGTACCAATCTCTCCCTTGAATCTCACCAACTGGATACTCAGCCACAACGTTCCCAGGAAAAATAGTAAAAGTGAATTCCCTTAACCAGTCACCCTGCGCAAGATATAGTACAACCTGGGTTCTTGAGGGACAGAGTATCTTGAAACTCAGGAAAAAATAAAATAATGCAGCTCTTAAAGAGCAGGAACAAAATATGCTTGCTTCCTGGTGTATAGTAAACGTTTAAAAAATACTTGCTGAGTGGAAGGCTGAGAGCTAAGGAAGGAAGTGGTAGAGGTTTGCAGCAGGAATGGGGGTCAGCAAGCTGCAGAGAAAAGAGTCAGCAAGGAAATGACCTAAGAAAGAAAACTGGAACCAGGGTGGTGTCTGTAGACATCAGTGTTCTCAGCTAAACTGCAGCAGCGTGTGGGACTCGCACTGCCTCGCTCCCCACCCCACACTGCTGGGCTGAGATTCCTATTCACAGTGATCGGTGTTCATAACAGCAAGTCTGGGATGGCAGGGTAGGTTACTGGTACCTTTTTATAAGAAAACACCTTTAGGGTAAGGACTCTCACACAGTACAGATTTCTTCTTGGGAATTTTAGAGCCTTCAACGCAGACACACAGGGACTTTCCTGATGCCCTTTAGAAACCTATTTACAGAGAGGCAGCTACTTGCTCATTAGTCCAGTCTTGGTGCATCTTTGGATTGCAGATTAGGCAAGAGAGTAATTATAGGTCCAGAAAGAATAAAAAGAATTTCATTCTGCAGCTAAATGATTTCCTTAGCTTTTGGCAGCACATATTGTATATATAGTCTTGCCATCGTCTTAGTAGAACATGGGTCTGTACTCAGGTAAGAACTTGAAGAGAAACTTTGTTCCATTAACGCGAAGAGTGAAATACTTTCCATTTGTCCTTGTAAAAAATTGTTTAAAACAAATCATCACAGCAAAAGAAATGAAAATTGGGATAATGCAATTCAAAGGCTCAACACACCACCACGTAGGCATTTCTGCTATAGTGTGATGTCTCCCTGAAACACTTCACAATCAGCAAAATGGGCACTAAATTCAGTAAAATAAAGTATTCAAAAATCTTTGGAACTATATAGTCACAGCTCTAACAAAAACCATTCTTAGTATCCACGAAGATGGTGAGGCTTCTCTGGCAAGTGGCTCCCATGGGACTGGAGGCGCCACAGCAGATGTTCAAACTTCTGAGAAATGATAGAGGCCATGGACTGTCAACCCTTTCACTGGAGCAGGACAGGTGGAAGTAGGGTGGACACAGGAGGCAGTGCCATGGGGCGGACTGTCCCTCTCTAGGGAAGGCTGTGTGCAAGTGCTCATACTTTTAATTTTTTTAAGAAAAATGAGAGAAATCCTACTTCCAGTGCAACATCAAAGCTGAGATTTTTTTTTTTTTCCTTTTCTGCTGAAGGTTATGCTTCTATTTCTCCTTTCCCCTTCCCCTTGCCTGGGAAAATCATGTGCAAATTACATCATTCTCTCTCTACCAATAGTGTATGAGCTACTCAGTACAGAAGCATATGTAGGAGCTGAACAGATTTGATTAAAATAACTTTTTCTAATTATAAATAATTCATTCATATAAGGAATTTGGAAAATAGAGAAAGGCATTCAAAATAAAATTAGTATCAGCTTATAAATATAACTTAAAAAAAACACTATGATCTATTTCCCTCTGGCCTTTTGTCTACATATTTGTTATAAAATTAGGTTATGTTCATATAAATTTATATCCTTTGTATTTATATTATGCATATTTTTCTATATTAAATACGTGTCAAAATTTTGAGCCATAATTTAATAAACCTCTGCTTTTGGATAATGAGGTTGTTTTACTCTGGGGATAAAACACCCTTACACATAAAAGATTATTTGTACTTTGATTAATTCCTTAGGCTAGGTTGCTGGGCATCTTAATCCATTAGGGCTACTGTAGGAAAAACATCAGGGACTGGGTGGCTTAAATGGTAAACATTTATTTCTCACAGTTCTGGAGCTTGGGAGATCCAAGACCAAGGGGCCGGCAGGTTTGGTGTTTGGTGAGAGCACACTCCCTGGTTCACAGCCAGCCATCTTCTTGCTGTGCCTTCAAATGGTGGAAGGGTGGAGGGAGCTCTCTGGGGTCTTTTTTTATAAGGGCACTAATTCCGTTTATGAAGGTTCCACCCTGGTGACCTAATCACTTCTCAAATGCCCCACCTCCTAATGCCATCACAGTGGGGATTAAGATTTAACCTTTGGATTGGGTGGGGGTTGCCACATCCAGTCTATAGCACTGGGCCAATTGGTATAGATCCTCCTCTTTAAAAATAATCTGATAATAGTAAACTTTTATTTTTAAACATAAGGACCTTAATAGTAAACTTTTGTTTATTTTTAAACTTTTTATTTTTAAACATAAGAACAGCCAGCAGTAAGCTTGGTGTTGTGGCCCTTTTTTATTAAGAGAATGGCATTTATTTAAATGGTTACACATTAGTCTCTTTTGCTCACAGTTATGTTGTAAGTATCTCACTCAGCACATCCTGAGTTATCAACAGGTCCGGTAGGTAGAGTATCTGTATTATGTGTGCACTTTAGATCAAGCAATAAGAAATCAATGTTACGATTATCTCTCTACTCAATCTAATTCTTCTCTATATAATTTTCTGCCTTTCTCTTATCCTGTTGCCATGTCTCTCCCTGTCTGCCTTGTCCTTGGCTCACAGTTATGTCTGGTGATAACTTCCCTTTAAAGTCCACACTATACCTGTTCTTAGTTCAAACAGCTCTATGATTTTAAAACTTGCTGTGGGACATCTGAGGCAATTTGGGAGAGGAGAAAGCACACAGTCTCCTGGGAACTGCCCTCCTGATTCTGAGGTCCCTGTGTGTAAATATGTACAGAACGGTTAAGTGTTTGGAAGTAGGAACGTCTGGATCTGACTCCCAGCTCTACCTTCTTGGGCCAGGAAACGCATGGCGTCAGGAGCTCCTGGTGGTTGTGCTGCGTGTAGTAGTAGCAGCGGCAGCAATTGGGTACATTCAGACAATGATGTTGTTTGGTTTAGAAAGATACACAGTTTAACATCTATTTGAGAGGGAATGTAAAGACAGAATTTGACTGGGTCACATCTGAAATGAAGTGAAAATAAGCTAGTATTCAATCCAGAAGATTTAGTTTCTTTCCGTTGCAGTTTCTAAGTAAAGTAATGGGAGGTCTGAAGAAATTGCTTCTATCAAATCTTTGGACATTTATGGGGGTAAAGAAAGGGAGTCCAATAAAGTAGAGGCAGATATATATGTACTAAAGATCTTTCCAGCAGCTGTTAAACCATTGTCATGGAGACTTCATTGAAGACAAAGGGCTGCATCCAGTTCTTCGGTTTGTTATTTTTAAAAATTAGCACTAATTCAAAAGCTGACTTTCTTCCTCTCTCTTCAGCCAGCATATGTCCCAAGGAAGCTGATCCCAATAACAATCATCAAGCAAGGTAATTTTTATGAGTCTGCTCTGGATATGTATTTAGAACCATTTTAATACACTTTTTAAACTTAGATAATTAAACATTGCACATATTTTCTGAACTTTTCTGATTATTTTTCAGAAAAAGTTTGAAGAAATCATTATGGTCTAGTAAATTAGAAGTTAATAGGTAATTTTGGCTCTTGTACCAGTAAGCTAAGTCATGGCAAGTCACACTGGTTGGACAACTAGGAACAGAGCAATCATAAGTATTCAGTTTTAAAAGGCCTTTAAATATGTGTGTTTTAGTTTAGGGTTAAGTTACCACACATGAAGAATACCATTAATGCGATATTTGGATTAATGAAATAAAAACTATAAGTTAAGACATCCAACCTTCAAGAATGATAATGTCTTATTTCACTTTATCATCCAGTTGTCTTTGTTTTGACTTTCAGTTTTTAAAATTATTGAACTGATTCTATTATGTGCAGAAAGTTTCTTGGTAGAAGAGATTGGGCACTTAAAATTGTTCATTTTAAGAAAATAATATACCAAGTGTACTCGCAAAGCAGGGTCAATTGATACTGGTATTATCCAATGATTCTTTGCTTTGAGAATATATATTTTCCAATTTTTATTTACTAGGTCATTGCCTCTTTTGTGCTAGTTCTTTAACTTGGGTAGGCTGCAGGCGGTGGAGATCAGAAAGGAAATTTTCAGCTCATTAGAATAGAGTACTTTATGATAGAGTAACATCCTTTCATTAGTTATAGGCATTGTTGTTAAGGTAAGATGTGCCTTCTAGTCCTTTCATTGGCTGTGTAGTCAAGCCAATGAGTTCCTTTCTATTAATTGAAGTTAGATTGGGGCTTCTTCAGTGCAGACTACTTCACATTTTTAGCTTCTTACTGCTGTCTGACTATTTCCCCCCAACTATTATCTTTTTGTATTTCAACAGTGATTCAGAATGTTACTCACAGGGCTTCAATTAAATCCCCAGATAGGACTCCCATTGGAGGAACAATACTGGGTGAGTTAGTCTTGAACTCTATATCTAGATTAAGAATATCAGGTTATTTTTTTATAATAGAGCCTTTATGGAATTTTATACTGTGAGTAGGTTTGTTAAATTGATGTTGGTTCATTTTCTTTCAACATTTAGGATCCTTGGCTGTGTTTATTCCAGGCTAGGAGCCAAGAGATGCTACCTCTATCCCAATGTGTTAGAGAAACAACTCTAGCTCATGCCTAGTGGGAACGAGGGCACCCATCCTACCTACCCCACAGGGTTGTTGCAGTTATGAGAGAATCTTTTGAATATTGAACTTCTCTTTTTTTTTTTAATATTGATTTTTTTTTTAATGTCTTTATTGATTTCAGAAAGAGGAAGGGAAAGGGGGAGAGAAAGAAACATCAATGATGAGTCATTGATCGGCTGCCTCCTGCATGCCCCCTACTGGGGATCGAGCCCACAACCCCGGGCATGTGCCCTGACTGAGAATTGAACTGTGATCTCCTGGATCATAGGTTGATGCTCAACCACTGAGCAACACCAGCTGGGGTGAACTCTTTTAAAAATGATTATTAATAATGGTGTTCTTTGTTCACCACGCATCTTAAGCAGCCATTTAACAATTTTTGAGTCCATGGATTAAAAGCCAGAAGATTTTGGCAGTTCAGTTCTAAATATGAAAATGATTCTGTTTATAAGGTAGTGTTATTTTTTCCAACATTTTAAAGTTGGGGTTAAAACTGACTAAGCAAAATCAGTGCTAAACTTCATGTTTACTAATCTCTGACGTTCTGAGCTTGATTTTGTGTCATGCTGCACTTTCTTCCTCTCATCTTTACTTCTGTTTCCTTGCAGTCCACCTTGTCGTTCCTGGTCTTAATGAAACCACTGTAAAACTTCCTACATCCATAATGTTTGAGATTTCAGATGCAATCAAGACACAATTAGGTAAGCAGCAAAGTTCTATGGTTGAACTTCTCAGTGACTGAGCACTAGCACTGATATTCCTAGAATATCAGAGGAATCTAGAGGATGAACTATTTGGAATCTCAAAGTAAAAGTAAGGAACAGGCATATGTAGTGTTGATGGGAATGTAAGGTGGTATAGCTGCTATGGAAACAGTGTGCCCACTCCTCAAAAAATTAAAAATAGAATTACCGGAGGACTCAGCAATTCTACTTCTGGGCATATAACCAAAAGAATGGAAAAGAAGTTCTCAAAGAGATATTCGAACACCCACGTTTGTAGTAGCATTATTCACAGCAGCTAAAACATGAAAGCAACTCAAGTGTCTGACAGGTGAATGGATAAGCAAAATGTGATTTATACATATAGTGGAGTATTATTCATCCTTAAAAAGGAAGGAAATTCTGACATATGCTACAGTATTGATGAACCTTGATGACATTATACTAAGAAAAATAAGCCAATTTCAAAAAGACCAATATTCTATGAATGATGGTTGCGAGGGACTGGAGGGAGGAGGGGAATGGTGAGTTAGTGGTTAATGGCACAGTTTCAGTTTTATAAGATGATGAGAATTCTGGAGATAGACAGTGGTGATGGTTGCAGAACATTATGAATATATTTAATACTGCTGAGCTTTATATTTAAAAATGGTTAGTATCTTAAACTTTACGTTATGTATATTTTACCACAATTAAAAACTTGGGGGAAAAAGAGGCAGAGAAGTTGGAGTGTTGAAGGTATTAAATCGCATTCTATAGGGAAATCATTAAATTTTTACAAAAGAAGAGTGAACATTTATCAAACTATCCAAAATACACACATTTATATAGGGATAGTTTTCAAGTAGAGTAATCATTGTAAATTACATTTAGTGTACTATAGTATCAAGGGATCACTAGATGCTTTCCGTAAGAACTGATGTAAAGGTCAGGACTGTTAGCATTATTATTATTATTATTTTAAATATATCTTTATTGATTTCAGAGAGAGGAAGGGAGAGGGAGAGAGAGAGAGAAACATCAATGATGAGAGAGTCATTGATCGGCTGCAGCCCGCAACCCAGGCATGTGCCCTGACCGGGAATCAAACCCTGATCGCCTGGATCCTAGGTCGGTGCTCAAACACTGAGCCACGCCCAGCCAGGCAGCATTATTATTTACCTGAGATTGCTACTGCATCCAACTTCTAGGAAGAGCCTGATATGATTTCAGAGTTTAAAAAACATAAAACATAACAATTTGGAAAACAACACACCAGCAGAACTTTTTAAAATAGCCCAGGGAATAATTGTGGTGGCCTCTGGGCTTAGTTGCTGCTTCTGAGTATCAAAGTAGTTCAAATTCTCCCTATAGCAGAGGATCTCAGACTTGATCAAGCATCAGATACCCTGGAAGGCTTGGAACACACAGACTGCTGGGCCCACCCCCAGAGTTACTGATTCAGTAGGTCTGAGAATTTGCATTTCTTACTAGTAGGTGATACTGATGCTGCTGGTCTGGGAGCCATACTTTGAGAACCACCCCTCTAAAGTTTCTGGAGACTGTCTTGGGCTATTGATAAATATGGAAGGAGATGGTATGATGTGATAGAAATTGAACAAGACTTAAAAATGCAGAATATTTTTCTGTAAAGTAGACACTAGCTAAGAATTTCAGCATTTACATAATTGAATCTTCACATTGTAGAGATGCAAAAACAGAGGCAAAAGCGCCTGTTTGGTAGCATTCAGTCAGCAAATACTTACTAAGCGTCACTCTGTGCCAGACAGAAGTGGCTAGGGCCTATCATGGTGAGTTACACAGACACAGGGCCTGCCCATCCTGGGACCTCAGACTTATTTTTCCCTTGTTGGAGACCTGAGCTGTTTGCTTTTCTGATGGTAGGCAATCAGACTGTAACTGTTTTTAAAGGTGGGAACTCTTAAACTCTCCTTAGCTGTTATTTGGAGAACTTCCTGGCAGGAGGAGGAACAGAGCCTTAAGTGGGTATAAGTTCCCGTAATAGGTGGACTATTAGACTTACAACCTTAGAAAAATTTTCAAAGCCTATGCATCATTATTTCCTTAAGATGTGAAAATATTTGCCAATCAACCTTTGTGATTTTGTGCAATCCTTACATTTTTACTGAATTTTAATGTAAAATACTGAATATTTTACATTAAAATATTCATAACTGTTAGTACTAGAGTGAGTTACCTCCAAGAACATAGACAAGTGACTCTAGGCTTCATATCCTTAATGTGTACATCAGACTTGATCACCTCCCTTGTAACTGTAAAACCCTGTGACTCAACTTTATATCATCTGAATGCTGGGCTACGCGCCAGGAAGCTTCCAAATGAAATGCCTTCAGTGAACCTGTGTTTGGAATCGGGGCTCAGGTCTTTCACACTCACCTGTTCTCTGTCCAGAGCCTATATGCTGCCTTGCCCCACATGTAGGAAACATTTGTTTGGAAAGAGAAAAAGAGCCAGCCAATCTCTTATTGACTGGTCCCTAATCTGGCTATCAAAACTATAAAACCCAGGATATGTGAAAGAGACTGAAAATGAGCAGAGTTTTTCCCAGGCCACTGCTGTTAGTTTTGAATTAGAAGGTGTTTTAGCCCCTAGTCTTTAGTCTTGAGCGATATTCCTCACCCTTTTATTTTGTTTTTCTGATATAATTCACTAAACCTTCAGGATTGTGATTTTAATAGAGAAAATTGTATGCAAATAGTTAAATATTTCTTTTAACTTGTGTTTCTGGGGAAATACCTATCAAATTTAACATGGCAAATGTCTTACACATTGAAGAGATTAATAGCCGGTATGTTTGAAAATGTCCAGTAAATCCATCAAATGTAACATCCTAACAGACTGCATTTAAAAATTTACATTTTAAATTTATTGTATTTTTAAAAAATGTGAACATAAACAATCTTTTATACTACCGAGGGAGACTTAAACCTTCCTGGAGTTATCACTGCAATTCAGAAAAGTCCAATTTTTTGATGGGGTAAATCCTAAAAATATCCTCATTCCAGCAGTGCCCATCATGGCACATCAAGAGATGCCTGGCTTTTGTTCTAAGGACACGTGGTGTGGGTAATGAGAGAGATAAACAAGAAAGCCAGTATTACACCCACATCGCCCTGGGATATACAAAGGGGTTGCCAAAGTCAAGACTTAGCTTGCCAAAAATTAAAGGAAACAACAGTGTTGAAAAAAAGGTGCAGAAGAATCAGAGAGGAAAAGACATTTCCTGGGTTTTAGGTCATTCTGATGGCATTTTGCTCCTCTGTTGCCAAGACTGCGCTTGTACATAGAGAGTGTAGGTGAACGCTCAGGGTTGATAGGAAAACATAAAATCCCCCATTTAAATATTTCTCCATCTACCAATTTCTCTGATCCTGAAATGCAATATTTAGAAAATACAATATGCCTTTGTAAGGAATGGGTGATGTGTAAAGAATACAGTTTTCTCTTGGGAAGGTAGTTTACCCTTTTTTCTTTTTCAGCCTAATTTTAGGCTAAGGTGATTGCCAGCTAAGGATATGTTTAGAATATAAGCTAAAGCAAAGCAATTTAGAACATTGCATGAAAATCTAGGATCTGGGGGTAAAATAAATTAGTAAGTAAATAAATAGAGTCCTAGTCAGCCAGGCAACCACCAAGAACACAGGATATTACACCGGAAGCAGAGGGTTAGCAGATGTGTCCAAACTAAAGGATCAGAGGACACTGAGAAAGAAGAGACCACGAAAGAAAAACCTTATAATCTTACATTCGAAAAATAAAAACACCTTCCTATGGCACATGCTGAAAGTAACAGAACCAGAGCTTGTTCATAAAAATTTGTAACCTGAATGGTTTTTCCTATGCTAGCGATCACAGTGGTTCTAAACAAAAACTGCGACTACAGAAAAAGGCAGGAAAAAGTTTGATCGAATTTAGAAATTTTGAAAATAGAATTTTTCATAAAATTATAACGGCTCTGTGTTTTTAGTTATTCCAGAAATAGAGTCCCCTCTCTTTATGCCCCACTAAATTAATTTGAACAATGGTATTAAACATTTCCGTTGTGCATCTTCATGTGCTCATGAGTCCAAAACACACACATGGCTATTAGATATGGTACAGCAACTGTGTAGCACTTGTGATACCTATTTCTACAGTGCAGACTGAAAAATGATTGGCTTCTATTAGCACTGTGAAAGGGATTACTTTATAACTGCCTTTGTCCATTACAAGTAAATAAGTACTTTATGCCCATGTCAACTGAAAGGAAGGAAATGGTCTTTGCAGCAGTGATGTGAACTGCAAAAGGAGGTTCCAAAGTCTGCACCCTCGGACGACTTGGAAAGAACAGGGTAGGCCAATAGTTCTCAACAGAGAGCAGTCTTGTCCCCCAGGGGAAAGCGGGCGGTGTCTGGAGACATTTTTGGTTGCCACAACTACACACATGCTGGTGGAATCCAGGGGGTAAAGGCCAGAGGTGCTACTAAACGTCTCGTAACGTAGGAAAGGCCCCACAACCAAAAATTAAAGCAGCCCAAAATGTCAATAGTGCTGAAGTTGAGAAACCCAAGAAGTTCCTGTACAGCCTTAGGACTCTAGAAATTCCCATCTGATTATAATCAGTTCAAGGTGATGTGATCAGGGCATCTTGAAGATGAATTAATTCTTTCGTGCCACTAGACTGTTTCAAAATATTACGAGTAGGTCATTGATTTAGTGTGGAAATAACTGAATCAAGTTAATTTTTGGTGCATTTTAAAAATGGGGACTATGTTAATCATTGGGAAACTGGTACAAAAATGTTCTTTCTTTGAAAAGGGATACCTAAGTTTTAGAAGGATGTTTCCTAAATAGTGGTCTGAAGAGGGGGAAAAAAATCTATTTTAATCTTTATACTGAATCCCTACAGTGACCAAAACAAAAGTTCTTTGTTAACATGTGGCTCAAATAAATTACTGTCGGTATTTTCTTGCCACAAATATTTTCACATAATTTAGTTTCCCATGTGTGTTATTCGTGCTTTTCTAAAATTTCAGTGTCTGAACCTATTACGTGTTTTACCATGTGCAATATGGAAATTTTCTATTCGTTGGTTTTTTTTAAAATTGGGAATACTTGAATATAAAATTCCGGTGAGTATTTGCAATGCAACATATGCCTTCCAGAAACTATGAATCGGAACGACTTGAGAGTTTTCCAAAAATTGGTTGTGGTTATTTTCTTCATTCCAAAGCCAACTTAGATCTTAAAGAAATGCTGAGAGTTCATATGAAGGGATTCTTAAAATTGTCATCTATTCATGCTAATCCCTGGTAGAAATGCACAGTGAATTTGTTGACTGCCTGGTGGGAAGGGATAAGAGCAGAATAGATTTCTGAAATAGTCTGTTACTTGATTATGTTTTGAATGAATTGTATTTGGACACTGTGTTATAAGGATGTGACATAAATTGTTTGTTCTGACTTTTTTTTTTTTTTTTTAGCTAAGAATGAAACCTTGGCATTACCAGCTGAATCTAAAACACCAAAGGTAGAAAAAATCGCGGCACAGCCCATAACAGGTAATGAGACCCTGTGTTAACTTTGAGAGAATAGGTAATATTTTTTTAAATAGTAAATGATTGACAAGCCCGTACTTTTCTTCAGTGAAGAGCCAGTAGGAAACTTATTTTGATTGTAAGCACAAAACGGTAGGTGATTCTAGGTCCTTAATCTAATGTTTGGAAAAACAACAGATGCGAAATGAACTATTGAACCATATAACTGATACGTAATAAGGAAACTGCAGTTTTCACTCTGAGCGAAAGTTGTTACCTAACATTCTGAAATAATATTTCACAAGTGGTTAGTTGAGCAAAATGCCAATATCCTTCACAAATCCATAGCTTGAAGTCTATATCATTTGGCAACAATATCTTTGGAAGGTGAACAATCCTAATATAGACAATATATAATAGTTCAGTAAAGACCCTTGAAAGAATAAATGCAGTGTGCATTTTCCCCACAGTTTATCAGCCGTTACTAACAAACACTCAGCATTTCTGCTATGAATGAGCTGCCCAAGTCCAGCCCAGTGGGGACACATTATTATCTGAACAACAGAGTTTTTGCCAGAGCAATACCACCTCATCTAGGACACAGTGAAGCAAACATCTGGCAAGAATTTCCCCAAATCCACATTTAGCAAAGTCACTCCAATCTAAAGTAAAATTATTAATCCTTTAAATTGCTATAAATTGAAATATTAGTGATATTTACTTTATACTAAACTCTTGGACTCATCCAGAGAGATAACGATTAGTAGGGAAATAAAATAATGTGATTTCAAGAAACCAATTCGAGTAGGGGTATTTCTGACAAAGCAAGAAGTATGTGGTTCTGCCTCAAGGAGAGAGATGGACCCTCACCTTCACGGAGCTGGGGCAGAGGTAGAAGCTATTCAAGATGCTGAAGTAATTTATGGAATGAAATCCCTAGGTAATTTTCTGGTTTCAATATAATTGTTCAATACCAATAAAAACAGAGGCATGACCCCATGATGGCTCCACCTTTTTTTCTGCCCCAAAGGCCCTACCCAATTATACTTTCTTCTCATGGCACATAATCTCATGGGAGAGTCTACAGATTTCTTAGTTGTCTTCCAAATCTTCTTCACAATTTTCCATTTCAGAAAGACAAACACCGTAACTTATTGTTCAGTGTTACTGTGTTCTTGCGAGTCCTTACCCTGCAAAATTTCTGGAATTGTCTGGCTCTCAATTCATCCCAGATCTCAGTGATTCTGGTTCTTATTCCTTGAAAATGATTTAGCTGAGGTCGTCTTTGCCTTTGACCTAGCATTTGGAGCACCGTGGTAGCTGAGCATTTGAATCCTTATGGTAATTTCAACCCAGTTCCAACCTTTGCATGTTAACTGCAGTTTGAAAGAGAAATCATATAATGTAATAGTTCTCTGGCTTACTATGCCCCAGACATTGTGCTAAGCCCTGGAGATAAAGAGAAAGTAAAAGGCAGACAAATAAAACATGATTAATCTGATAAATACATTCATGGAGGTGATTTCAGCGTGCTTTCTGTAACACATGGAAAGTGGACCAAACCCAGAAAGGAAAGGTTGGGAACAATGTCAGATCAAGCACCTGGAGCAAGCAAGCGAGGGAGTCCTTAACATGAGTAACTTGAAAAGTATGAGCTATGTGTCACTTTGGAATTCTAAAGAGCAACAAGTGTCTTATGATCTTTGGTTGTTTCATAATTTTATCTTAATTTGTAAAGTTGTCTTTTTTACCTTCCAGTGACTCCTGACTCAGTTCCAAGAACCACTAAACCCACTGTGTCTCATACGTTAGACACTTCAGAAACAACACTGGGTAATTCTAAGAAGTTTTTTTCTAAAACACAAGCAAAACCCTCCCAGCACTCATAGAAAAGTAACCCAATACCTTACCTTTCCCCCATCTCTTCACCTCCTCACTGGCAGTAGTTAATCTTCCTATTTCTTGGACCAGTTTCATTAAAGAGTTAACGACATGCCTTGATCCTGGTGGGTGACATTCTAGGCAGCTCTGGCTGCCAGCTGCACACCCTTTCACCAGTCTCTTGGGATGGATAGGAGAACAGAGCGTCAGCCTTTTAACCCAGTGGGCTTGGAGAGGTGCAGGAACCTGGAAGCCTTGACTCTGTCTGTGCTATTTGTTTTGACTAGCTTTTCCAAGTCGTGTGTGTACTAAATATGAGGAGAATCCCAAAACTGTCATGCTTTCTAATAAGAATTTCATGTCACTCCTGTTAGCTGCTGCTAGGCCCATGTGGCTCTTAGTTGCTTCTTTCTCTTAAGAAAATGTTCAGCATGTGTTTCATTTTGTATTTGTGATGTTGATCATCCGTGCTGAACTATGGCCCTTTGAAAGTGTACCTTCAGATTTGAACAGCTATGTCAACCTTTCCAGGGACAGCCAGCTATTTCCATGAATGGCACACTCTGAGCACACATATCACATGATCGTGGTTAAGCGTCAAATCCTGATTCATACAGTTGCTAACCTAGTTCTTCTTTATTGTAGTTCTCAGTGAAAAGACTCCGGAAAGATCGCAAACTATTCTAATACCTAGGTTTGAATTACCGCTGAGCACTCTAGGTAAAAATTATTAAACATTGCAGTTCATTATAACCTTGGAAATTTTATGCATGCTTGAAAGACATCCTTAGGCTAATTTATACAAATTTATCTCCTCACAGGAAAAAAGAGACACTTGGCTTATAAAACAATGAGCTCCCCAACACCAAGTTTTTAAATGTTATAAAATCTTTATTTTATAATTTAGAGTCCTAAAGAGTCTCTCTCTATAACAAATCCTACGTTTGTTTTTTCTTTTTGGTGGTCATATTTTGATGTTATATTTGATTGTTTTCATTCAAAATCATTGTGTCACTGAATAAATTTTTTCTACATTTTCTCTAAATACCCTTTTCTCAGTTGTTTCTCTTCACAGAGAAGATATTTTTATAATACTTATGCAGACTGTTTCTTAGAACTCCTCAAATTTCTTTGAGTGCAATATCAAAAAAGTTGTTGGGGGTGAGCTTAAACATAAAGCCATGTAGTCCCTAAAATTCTATTTTTAAAAGCTAGTAGATGGACAGATGTGTCTGATGCTTGATTTGAGTCTAAATGAAATATAGACACATATACACATAGCTGAGGAAGTTAAGAAACAAATTTAATAAAAATGAAAAGAGCTCAAATTCCTCAAATACAATGGTTTGATTATAAAGGAAAATAGAAAAGGAAGCTTTATTATGTCATTNACAAATTTAATAAAAATGAAAAGAGCTCAAATTCCTCAAATATAATGGTTTGATTATAAAGGAAAATAGAAAAGGAAGCTTTATTATGTCATTCAGTGTTGAAACACAGGATGAAGAAATACTACTAACAGTCCCTTACTTAACATGAGTAAATTGCCTTTCTGTGTTTATTGTCTCAGTAAAATCTTTTCTCTGTTTCTTGCACCTCAAGTCGTAACATTTCTTATGTGTTTCTTTACAGCTCCGAAAAGATTTCCAGAATTTCCTCAGGCAAAAACACCCTTCCCTTTTGAGAAAGCTGGGGGCACCTTGGGTAATAACAGCACCTGAAATCTGGTGTTAAGATGTGGGTGGTGATTGCTTAATTCTGGAGGACACATTTCCTGGGTCCTATCCCTGCAAACCTCAGTGAACTGATGCTCCATTAATTTGGCCAAACCAGTGGTTGATTTTGTAACACAAATCCACTGTGTTACAAATCTTTATTTTATATTTTGCTTTAATTTAAAAGCAAAAAAAAAAAAAAAAAACCACCAATATGTCTGGATTTTTTAATAAATTTAGTACAATCATCAGTCTGTTCATTCCACATAGCTCATTAAGTTAGTTTTCTGTCCTCAAAAACAAGAGTATCATGCCAAACTTTGGTCTCTCTCTAGTCACTAATCAAATGCTCTCAGAATGGGTACATATTAATTTCTACTTGATAGATGATGGGTTTTTGATTGGGTCGGTATGTGCTTTTCATTGCAGGACTCTGGTAGTCAGCCATACCAGCAACCTATTACTGTTTCTTGTCCTCTTGAAAAAATCTTCAGCAAATTCCCTTTCTTTTTGCTGTAGCCTCAAGTGAAAAGCCATGGATTGCACCTATAACCAAAACATCTGAAGATTCCAAAGTTCTACCTCCTCACACTGGTAATTGCATTCTTTTTAAAAAATAGATTCTAACGACAGTATTGAATAACTTCTCGTTTTTTATTTTATAGGTTTCTTAATAGATTATCAGTATACTCTATAGTAAATGGTAAAGCTATAATTCTTTCTTGATACTTAAGTGAATCTTTTTTTCCTGTCAGTACAAAAGCAAAATGTTTTTGCATTTGTTTTAAAGATCTGTATTAACATCTGTACATCAAATTAGAACTTTGGCTAGAAGATGAACTATGCTTTGGCTCATTGATTTTCTAGAGATCTCTTTAGTGACATGAAAGCAGTAATGGAAATAAGGATCATCATCATGGGTCTGATTTAACAGTATGAGCTAGCAGGTAGATGTTGGCTTCTTTTTCATCCATGAACTTTTTTCTTTTTGAGTGGCAATTACTGCTATTTATTGAGCACCTTTTATGTGCCAAACATCGTACTAGGTACCTGGGAGTGAGCTGTGTGACTTGGGGCCCAGGAGCCAGTGATAGGACATTGCATCCAGGGTTCGACTTTTAAAAAGCTCCCCAGCCTCTGCATATCCTGAGGTCAGCCTTGATTTGCTCACCAAGGAGGAAATCAGCAAGTCTAGCTGAGTGGGGGCAGGCAGGTTACCCTCCTTGCCCCTCACACCATATCTTGTATTTGTCAACAGTGAACATTTGAGAGCCTACTACATGCAAGATATTATTACTAAGTCCTAAAATCTGTAAGCATATTGTGATACAGAGGGAAGACCATAGGCCTTGGCATTAATAACAGACTTTGGTTCCAGTTCTGGCTTTCCCACTAAACATATACTTTAGCTGTTTTGTTCTACTTTTCTGGGTCTTAGCTCTTTGGTAAATTGTGGTGATTGGCTTTTTCCTGAGAATTGTTGTGTTCCACCACTAAAACTGATTAAGGGAAATAGCTCTCCTTTTTTAAAAATAGATTTTTCTCAATTAAAAAATTTTCTCCTATGTATATTTTCTTTTATATCTAGCAGTCAAGTAAAGAGGGTAGATCTTCAGCATATGAGAATGAAAGAAAACCTCAGGAACCAGTGTGATTACTTCCATGAGTCTTGTTTTACTTATTTGTATTTTAATTTTTTATGTAGCTTCTAGTGATTTTTCTTTGAGCACATATAATATAGTATATAATGTAGTTAGAAGTTCAGGTAATAAAGTTATATAACCTACATTTTGTGGAATTCTCCAGTAGAGGCCAACAGAGGACTGGTTTGAGAAGGAATGAGGAAGAGCCTTCAGGTACATAGGTCTTAGTCAAATGATTTTTTCTCTGGTATCTGTCATGGGCTCAGATCTCAGAAAAGATACAAGGATGTATCAAATAAACTAAGCATGTCTGTTATTATCATCTCCCCTAGTTTTCTCAAGTGGGAAAACACTTGAAAGTTGGCTGAAGCTGTCAGTCAATCCAGAGAAGCCTCAGCTTGGGTCTTTCTAAGCCATAGTTCTCCTAGTCACTGACTTAGAAACTTCAGTGCGATTACTTAATGTGGGTGCAAAAATACGTTTAGCAATCCAGTTTACCTCAGGCCAAAATCTGGGTCCTGGCTAGAGTTTCGTTCTGAGCCTCTAGTTCCATTGGCTATCATACAGGCACAGCTGCACTGTGACTGTGGAACAACAACTCGTCTAAGGGCGTTATCTGCTGCACTGTGGCAGGCCTGGCCTGACTCCCACCGCCTTCCTGAGCATCACGTCTCCCAAACCAAACATTTAAGGGCTCACTGGACTAGATAAATTCTTAGATCCCTTTCATCTCTTAGTTTCTGGGTTATAGCATAGGAGACGCAGGGTCCCCCAAGGTTTCCCTGGAGTAGCCTCCAGTTTTTTTGGTGTCTGTGATAATTCAAGAGCAAAATGACCAAAACCTCAAGGAAACCATGTGGAGTTTCAATGCCTAGAGCATGAATTATATATAAAACCTGAATTGAACCAAACATTGGGAGTGGAGAGAATATGTTGGGAAGTGAAGGTTATAGAGTTACAAGGAGGCAAATACAGATAAGGTTAGAAATCCCATCAAAGGCAGAGTTCTTTTTGCCTTTAATTTTAGAAAAGGAATATTCTAGTTTTGCCCTTTTGGAATATAAATAGTGGCTAATGCAGCAGGAAGCAGTTTTACTGTTCAGCTGCCTCACTACTGGCCAGGGCAACTTAGGCTGCCAGAGAACTTCCACCTGTCGACTGCCAACCTTCTCTGGATGAAGTGTTGGGTCTTGTCACGGGCTGTAATAATTCCACAGGCAATGATTGCAGGTATGAGCAGTAGCCCAGGAACACCTAGCCTGCCCTTACAACATTTAATTTGTACATCTCTGCTACTTAGTGGGATCCTTGGACCAGCAATGTTAGCATCACTGGGGAGTTAGTTGAAAAGGCAGAATCTGGGGCTCTGCTCCAAATCTGTTTTTAACAAGATCTCCAGGTGATTTGTATGAACATTAAAGCTTAAGAAGCACTACCGTACCACTAGAGTCTGTAATATTTCACATAGTGCAGATAAGAGTCATCAAATGTAGTTAAATGTGGACAAGAGGGCTCAAATCAATACAAGATTGGTTTCTCAAAGTGGGATTACTATCTCCTCTTTTTGCTAATGGCCACAATGCTTACATCTAACTCTTGTATAGGACTTCTGTAGCATCTTCCTAACATGTTAAATTTCAAGTTAAAATTTACATGCATTATTTGTGATTTAAAGAGTTGATAAAGTCATGTCATTGTTTCATTGATTTCAGCCCTTCTTGTTTCTTGTGATTGATTTTCTGTGAATTTATACATGTACTAAGTGTATCTATTTCCTATTTAGTTTCAATGTATGATTATTTATTTTGTTTTTCGATTACTCATGTGACATTCAAATATAGTTGTTTTGAGAATTAAGAAGACAAAGAGGTAGAGATAGTATTTGAGTGCTGGTCTATAAAACCATTGATCCCATTTTTAGTTGTTATATCCTTTGAAGAAATGATATATTTTAACTGGTATTAATTACATTATTATAGAAAAATTAACATATTTTGTTTTCTGGGTTGGGATGCAATGCATCTATATTTACTATGTCAATTCCCTTCACCCAAAGACCACCAGGAACACACCTGTATTTAAACAAAGTTAGGCTTATTTACTCATTGCAACAATGGAAAATACATATCATGAGAAACTAGGGGAGCTTTTAGTAAGACAATGTTGGGAAGGACTTATTGTAGGACTTGCTCCAAGGAAGTGAAGCTTTGTGGATAGGATGCTATCAGAAAGTGGAACAATTCTGTGATTGAATATCTTAATAATTATTTATTTCTATCTTATACATAACTTTATACATAGCATATTAATTTATTTTTATTGTTGACACATTACAAATGTCCCCCATGTGCCCCCCTGTTTGCCCACCTCCTCTCAGCCCTACCCCTGCCTTCACTACATTGTCTGTGATCATGGGCTATGCATATATGTTCTTAATAATTCTTAATGAGAAGACAAGAACAACAGAGTGAAGCTGAAGTTATGGTTGGTAAAGAAGCAGCAGGTAGTCATATTAGCCAGACTGTGGGGACATTCACTTTTGTGTTCAGCCATCTGTCTGTGTTCCGCACGATCAGAGAGGACTCTTGTTTTTGTCTCCATTTGTCCCAGTCACCGAGTGGTCTTGTTGGATACTGGTGTTCTTTCGAGTTGGCTGGTGCTCATCAGGAGAACAAGCCTAGCTGTGCGTGCCAGACCAGCACTGGATGCCAGTGGTTGCTTTTCTCTTTATCAACCATTAAGCCTGATTTATCAATACCACTTGTAAAATTCATTTTGCTTTGGCATTTACTGGGTTTATTTTCCACATTTACCTCATATTCTGCATCAAATCATCAGAATGCATGCTCTCTAAAGGATTTTTGTATTACTTTTGTATATAAAAGGTTATGTGGAAATTCTAACTTGCATGCTAAATATTGAAATTCCTGGGTCATTTCAATAGTTTATGGCAAGAGTGAGACAGAGCATGTGGCATTTGAAATATTCCAGGAAACCTGAGAAGTATAGTCATCAAGTCTATTTGTCCTAATCTTTCATTAGTGCTGCATTTTGCGATCTCATTATTTGAACTGTATTTCGTATTAAACTTTCTCTAAAGTACATTTAAATAGGATTGATTTGATTCTCTTGGCAAATCCAATTCTCCTTAAAGTATAGAAAGGAAATTACAAAAATCTGCTCTATAATTACATGCCAGAATGCCAACTTACTTATAAAGTCTACATTAAAGGAAAGTTGGCCACATTTTAGAAATACTTTAGTGCTTGTGACTGTCATTCAGAAAAGTCAATCTCTCTGATAAGTAGAATTGATGTTATGTTCTGTTGGAAGGTGGCCAGTTGACTGTGATTTCCATTGTTATAGAGCGAGTTCCAGAAAAGCTCTCTGTACCTTCCAACCCCATCCCCACCCACGCCTGCACCCTGACAAATTGTGCACTGCATGGATTTGTTGGATTACTTCTTCACTGGAATATTATAATTTTGTATATACATAGCAGTTTTCTATTAAGAGATTCAAAGAGTTGTATTTATACCATCATATCGATCCTTCAGAAGTCCCTGGAAACAGAGAGAGTTACTTTCTTTTATCCTAAGATATGTGAGAGACTTGCCTTTGAACAGGCAGAGGAGCGAAGACTAGATAGGCCCTCATTCACTTTTCTCTGAATCTCTCCGAAGCACCGCCCCATGTTAACAGTGAAATGATGTCATACAGCTTGCTTTGACACCTTCACAGAACAGGCCAAGAGCAGACCAAATGTTTTTATTAGAGCCAGGTGCCTTTTAGATTTTTAAGAAAGAGCACGTGGGTGTAAGAAAGGCTGGCCATGAGCTATAGGATGAGACAGAGCTGGGCTAATGACCAGCTCAACTCTGTACTATTGAAGCAGCTGTAGACAAGTGATTTAACCTCCTAGAATCCTCAGTTTTCCCATCTATTAAAGGAAAATAATATGTCATTTTCTTTCACTGGGTTGTTATGTCTTAGAAATAATGTGTAAGTCACTTAATCTAATTCATAGTACATAAGGGGTGTCCTGTTACCATTTTCTTACTATAGTGGACTCTTGAATTGAATACATCACCATCCCAAATTTCCTGAAGTGCTATAGATGCTTAATAATTAATAAAAAGAAAGAAAAGAAAAAGAGAGTAGGAAAATAGACTCTTATGCTTGTGTACACGTGAACATACCAAATGATTCTTGGGGCTTCATTTCACCTATATAAAGTATTTTAAGGAGAATGGAAAGGACACGTGCTGTGTCATTCAAAGAGCCTTGCACCCCCATGGGAATGGCCTGATGTGCCGCTAACCACATGGCCTGGCTGGTAAATTGCCTCGCTCAGCCATGCTGCTTAGTGAGAATGGCCTCCTGCATCATCTGTAAATGGGGCTCAGGCCCTGCCTAGACTCAGGGTGTAAAAGATGCCAGGACCAACTTTCCGTGTTTTTTTATGGACATCAGAATTGAGATCAGCAGCATAATGCCGTATATTTATTATCCCCCAGATGGGGTGTCAGCATGATTTCTGAACCTTTGTATGGTTTGAGGGGGCGGATGGAAATCAACTTTCTATTTCTGGCTTGATAATGCCCTGAGTGTTACGCCTCCTTAATTTACTTGATTAACCTCTTAACCAACCATCATTTAGGACCAAGAGGGATTTCAAGCCCTGATAAAATAAAGGAAATGGTTTTTTATCTAACCCAGGATGATTCAATGGGTTTATTTTCATCTTTAGATAACTCTCCTGCCTGTTCTTCCCCAGGGTGTCCAGACAAACTGATTTCCCCCTCCACTTGTACTCTAAGACGGCGACTTCTGGCAAAATTATTTCCCCTTGCACCATAAACGGTGATCTTTAGAGACTTCCCTTGACAGTCAGAACTGAGGATGGGAGACCTCAGTCTTTTCATTAGGCCATTAAAGGGAGCTATCTTTAAGAGTTTATCACCAATTATTTTCAGCGTTTGATTCTTTCAGTTCTTTGTAGAACTGTAGTAAATTGCTAATGCACTTAAGCTCTATCAGTTATTTAAAGACTTGGAAGCTGAACTGGTCATGTGCCTGAGGAGTCCTATATTGGTGGCGAAGCTTTGGCACAGTGGTTTGCTCAGGGTGCTTGAAAAGAGGGTGAGCTCTACATTTGGACCTTATTGCCCGCTGGTCAGGTGTTGATCAGCCTAGATCTGGCCCACCCAGCTGGATTAAGCCCTAGCAAAGAGAAAAAGTAGAAATGAGGATTGTTGCTGCTTCAAGGTCAGGAAAATAGAATTCAAGTGTAGCAGATGGTTTACAGATTTACTGTGGCCTCTTAGAGATTTGTAACCTCAGCCTTTGACTTTACTTCATGAGCATTTTTCTTTTTTTGCAGACAATATTTTCACAAATTTCAGGGTTAACCAGAAAGGCATTTTATTTTCCTATGAACTGAAGGACGCATTATTTATTTATTTACATGCTACCAAGAACTCTGTAGTGTTTATAAATGCTTTTCTCATCAGCTTTTTATGGATATTCCTGTTGTATTTTCCCATTGCCTCTTCATATGTGTTTTTAGGATTGTATTTCCATGGCAGGATACGGCCACACAAGCATATGGCACATAATCGTGTAGTAGAGAAAGATTTGTATGCACACGTATGTGTATCATAGAATAATTAAAGGACCTGTTCATTCATTCTCATTTATCTTTACTAAGAGCATAAACTACCCAACTGTCAAGCTCACTGTTATTTGTTCATTGTAATAGGCATCTTTTAGATTAATTCTGTTTAGTCTCTGCTTTGTACCAGGCTTTGGGGAAGTAACCTTGGAGTGCGGAATGAGCATGACAGTCAAATATCTGCCCTGATGAGGTCTTTCATCTCAGAATGTATGTTTAAAAATGACTGTCTTTCACATAGTTACTAATATTCACGGCATTTGAGTAAAATAAATTGATAAATTCTTGATAATTGGAAATACCTTGTCTGTGTGACATCATATGTTTCCAGAGCAAGATCAGAGCATTTTTATTAAGGAATTTGCATCTAATCAGGGATTTTTTAAGTAAAAATGTACAACCAACAAAACACAGTTTAACAATGTGGTTTTAGGAAGTTATGAGCAAATAGTAATGTGTTTTATTTCATATTATAATATTTTTATCTGAAAAATATAAAAGTAAAATTTAGTTACCATGATAAGTCATTACTGTAGTTTGAAATATTGCTTGTTATAACCTTTGAATTCAACTACCTGTTTAACTCACATCAGATTTCTGCTCCATCCTTTGGTCTCATTTATGTTCTGTGAATGCAAAGTGAGAGATAGTGCTTAATGCCAAGTAGCTGGAGCATTTCATCCCCTAAGTAAACATTGGTGACGAGATATTTGCCTTTAGACAATAATGCATGACAGCACATACAGTGCCTAAAAAATAGAAGAGTGCACTCCTAATTCTTAGCTATTCATCAGTTGTATAGCCTTTTAAAAACCAAAGGGGCCTGCCCATTCCATGCATTTTACTCGGGTACAGGAGTACATATACAAGAGTTTTGTAAGGAGATGAGGAGCTGTTGATTTTTAGACAGCTTCATTTCAACACTGTCCTCTCCTCTGACATCTACTATTTCAGGGTCAAATCTTGTTTAAGCCCCGAATGAAATGAGGTGGCGGTGTGCTTCTCAAGGTGGCCCAGACAACATACAACCTCCACCAAGTGGTGTTTGTGTGTTTTTAGCACTCCTTTACTACTCAACTCTCACAACTCCAGAAATAGAAATATCAGGGACCAAGCGTGCTGGCAAATGCGTTATTTTAATCTTAAGCATATTTGAGAAAATGTTTGAAAGAAAGAGGTCCCTGACAATTGAGAACTTCCAGATGTGAGCCACAGTTGCCCGAGAAGGATGGAAAGAGGGCTTCCTTCCCCAGGAACGCGCCTTCTGAGAACAAGCCAAGGGAAGATGGCAGCCAGGCTTGGAAACTCCAGAACAGAAGGAAATTGCAAATGTGGGAAAGAAAGAGAAAGAGGGTGAATAAATATCAACCTGTGGGACAAAATTGCAAATTATTAGAAAGGTAGTCCAGTGTTACTAGATAAAATGGAAAATGTGGGACTTAGGGTAACATAAAGACAGTTGTGGCATTTTTCAAAAGTGACAATACAAATAAGTTATTAATTCATAATTTCTTTCCTAGTATGAGAGGGTGAAGTAAGAGTTGGTCAAGTTTGCTTAATTTGTTTAGTAGTAGATAGAGCTGACTTTGATGGTTCCATGAAATTGCTGAAAGCAAGACTAAGATCAGCATTTCTGTCCTTTTGAAAGGTTAGTCCTCTCTAACCCTTGAAAATTGTGGCTGCACTAAAAACTACAGCGTAATGGATTTACGCTCAGAATGTTTGCACGTTTTAACTCATAATATTCTGTTTTCTGAAGATTTTGCAAAGCAGTAGATTCATCTTCACAAGCTGAAATGTATTTCCTGCCTCTTCAGTATGTGGTACAATATAAACTGTCCAATCTGCATGTCATAGTGTGTCACAAGGTCTACTGTCCTCTTTCTTACAGCTTCCACTAGCGGTGGTTCAAATCATTACACTGTCAATGAATTACAAGTAACCCTGATGAGTGAATTTTCCTGTGAGCGCCCCACACTTTTCTAGGTTTTTTCTGTACAGCCATTTTGAATGGGCAAAGAAAGTAGCATCTACCTCACAACAATTCAGGCTTCTGTACACCTGTCGTGATCATAGTAACAGCTCTTGGTGCGGAAGAGGGAACATTTTTATTTTGGTGCTATTCTTGCTTGCAGATTCAACTCTTATGTGAACATGAAAATTATTCTTGTTTTAAAACCAACCTTTTTTAAAGGTCACTCTGCTTTATTTCATGTGTAATAGAAATATTATCTTTAAATGCACCTAGATTATAGAAAAGTTCATAGCTTAATGAAGGACCACAGAAAGAAGGCTGCCTCCAGGGAAAGAGGCAGGAGGAAAAATGCTAGAGGAAGAGCACAGGTCTTAACTCTGTCATTCCTGTCCCTGTGGACACTGAAAAATATGCTGAACTTGAGAATCCTGTGTGTAACCCCTAGCAAATGTCATCACCACTATGAATCTCAACTGCATCATCTAGGAAATGGAGATAATTCCCTTTTATCTATGAAGAGGGGCTAACGTCTGCCTCACTTATTTCTCAGATGTTAAGAAGGTTATATATGATAGTGATGTGCAAACTGTAAAGTGCTGTCCAAATGTTAATATAGCATGATGGTAACTTTTACTAATCAGAAAGACTAAGGAATAGACTGTGCGAAGAGTCTCTATGTGAACACTGTTTCCTTCTTTGGAAATTTCTCCCATCTGACTTCGTTTATGTTTATATTCTTGGGAGCTCTTTGATTTAGAGCTGGCACCACTTTATTTTAAATATATAGCACTATGCTCACATCACCCCAGAGGCCAGTATCAGGGCTTGCTGTACAAAGACCTTTATTTTAGGGCAAGAGGGACTGGAGGTTAGTCTTAGTGACTGTTTGTACTTTAATGACAAGACCAGCATTAAAATATGTCATGAAATCTTTTCAATCAACATTAACATCTCTTTTGTTTTACCTTTTCCTTTAAAGCAACTTATGATGTTTTCTCAAGCCCTACAACATCAGACGAGCCTGAAATACCAGAGTCCCACACAGGTATACCCAGCCTCTCAATTCTGTCCTTGGACCCCAGGTGTTCTGATAATGCTGCACCTAGTTCTCTAATTTTTGCTGAATGAAAAAGTGTGCTCTCCAGAGCTCCACAGGAAAAGAAGTAGCAACCTGTGTCAGGGAGGTGAATTCTACCCTCTCCTCTCACTGAGTGATTATTTAAGTGGGAGATGCAGATAGGTTTGGTTGCTACTGAAGCAAAGTAATGGCTATTGCTCTATTGTTCAGAATCATTCTAAAAAGGTTTTAGAATCGTAGGAGTTTTCTCTAGAGCAGTGGTTCTACAGTGGGGGTGATTTTGCTCTCCTCTACCCCCAGAGCCATTTGGAAATGTCTAGAGACATTTTTGGTTGTCACAGCTGGAGGAGGTGCTACTGACACATCCAGCGAGTAGAGGCCAGGGATGCTGCTAAACCCCATTAATACAAAGGACAGGTCCCTACAACACAGTATTATCCAGCCCTAAATGTCAGTAGTGCTGAGGTGAGGAAGCCTGCTATAGAGAAATCATGCCATTCATCTGTAGAAGTTCAGATGGGTCTAATTTTTGGCATTTACTTAGTGATGCAGCTACAGTGAATTTAACTCAGACCAATCGTTCCTTTCAGCAAGGGTTTATTAGGCACACACTAAACTTGACCTTGCAAAAGAGTGAAAGTGAGTAAGACTGGTCTGTGCCAGACATGCACATATGTCTGATACTTTATGTGTAGCCTTATCTTAACATTATTTGTGTCATGATAAATAAAAGTGAATAATTTTAAACAGCATAAAATTAAAGAATGAAATAGAATGCTGAAGTTGAGTTCAATTAGTAGTTAAGGAACAATGAAAAGAAGCCAGAAAAATCAGTTGAAAATAAGTTGAATATACGAGACTGGTTCATCATGCTTTCTGATGTTTAAAGTATATATGTTTTTTAAAGTGAGCTCATCTTCAAATTCTAGTAAATCAGTCATTTAAAAATCTTGGTCAGAAATCTCTCAAGTGTTCTTGATATTTTCCCTATATGAGGCATAATTTATTACTCATGAATTTGTATTTTATTCCTGGGGCCTTCTGCTGCTTTTATAAATGTTGACATTTATTCCAACAGCAACACGGGATCCATTTCTGGATTCTGTCCCACCTAAAACTTCTAGAACTCTTGAACAGCCAAGGGCAACACTGGGTAATGTTTTTAACAGAAAAATCCTTCTTTGTTTTCCATCAAAAGAAAAATCCATGTGAATGCCTTCTTTCCAAACGACCATTTATTTCCATCACATCTAATCATTTATTTCTTTCCTATTTCTGAATATATATATATTTTTTCCTATAATGCAGGCATCTCATGTTCCATTTTGGTCTCTTTTTTTCTTTGTACTGTAATAGATGATATTTTTTCCATCTCTAAAGGAATGAAAAGCTTTGAAAACTGCATGGACACTTTCATCACCACCCGTATCACCCCATCTCACGTGTTTGTGGCCTGTGTCACCTCCCTCCATGCCTTGAGTCTGCCTGGAGTCAGCTACTGAACAGTTTTCACTCTGATCTTTTCCCCACTTTACATTATTATTTCATCCATCAGCTTTCAAGACTACATGCATTTTCATCCTCGGTCATGTGCTTGAAGCATGTGCTTTGTAACACCAGCTAAAAGCATGTTAAAACTCTTAAAATACCTCATTTTAACTGGAATTACTTGTTGGGTGGGGTGTTTGTGTTTTCAGCTCCAAGTGAAACACCATTTGTTCCTCAAAAACTGGAAATCATTACCAGTCCTGAAATGCAACCTACAACACCTGGTAACTAATGACATTTGTATAGTTGTTTGCTTTGAAAGAACAGATAAAGTAACCAAAAAAAAAATTATGTTGCTCTTTTCTGAATATTTTCAGTAGTAAACATTTCCCTTCATTACCTACCATGAAACTGTCTAGATATTGTGAAGAATTATTTTTTTGCTATACTTCTTTTAAATTTGCCAGCCAGAAAATAGCAGCAGAATTATAGATAAGTATTTTAAAATATATTCCTTTCTAATTAGCACATTCATATACCACTAGGTCAGAGAATTTTTCTCAAAGTCGCCTAAGTACAAAGAGCCCCAAGTGGGCATGAGGAGGAAAAATGGGCAAAAGAAAGATAACATAACCTACATTTTATAATAGAAAATTATTGGAATAATGAAGCTCATTAACTCCTGGTGAGGTTAGTCAAGTGCTACAGAATTAAAGAAGTTCTGAACTTTCCATTCTCTAAATCCCAAGTATTTTTTTTGTGCTTCTGCCCTGCTGTTTGGTAAATCATCTTTTATGTTCTTAATTGTACCATGTGTTCTTAAATTCTTCAAAGGTGCTCACTTTGCAGTACATTCGACTGAACATTGTACCCTCAGTTGTCATAGAGAAATTTAATTCCTTTGGTCCAGTCAGCACATTTATTGAGCACCCGCTATGAATACAGCCCAGCGCTGGGCATTCTAGGGATGCAGAGAAACATAAAGCAGCTCTTGCACTCAAGAAGTTTACAAGTTCACACTCCCACCCCTATTGATCCCTGAGGAACATCATTTATGAAAGCTATTTTAAATCTTCTTTCAGCTCCCCTGCAAACCACATCTGTCCCTTCTACACCTAAACGACGCCTCAGGCCCAAACCACCAAGAACCAAACCTGGTAAACAAATATCTCTTTAACTTTTGGGGATATGTAATTCCAAATAGATAATATCCATCTCCTTGCCATAAAAATAAGTGACATGATTCTGTAAGTTAGGTTCTTTACAAAATGTGAAATTAACTGAAGATGAGTAATTAATGATGCACAATAACAAGAATCATTTCTAATAAGCTTTTATTAAAGATAAATTTAAAAAATTATGTAAGTGATGTTCTCACGTGTTGAATTTTGATATAAACCTAGAAACAAGTCTTGCTATCACAACATGATAGAGTGGGATATATGGTATAATTCTTTTCCTTGGTATGCCATCTCTGTTTAAGTATTTATTAGGCTGACAGTTCTTGTTTTTTGGGTGCCTACTGTGTTTTGAGTTTTCTCCTAGAGCAGTGGCTGAGATGGAAAGGACATGATTCCAGCTTTTCAGTTGCTTATAATCTTAAAAAGATGCTCTCTCATTGTTTATGAGGTATTAACATAAGATCATATAATCCACTTGTGAGACTAATATTCACGTAAAAGGTCAGAAAGATAAAGAGTTGAAGATACAAGCCTCAAAATCTGTGTAGGATTTGGGCAGAGGAAAAAGGAGTGGGGAACAACATATTTTAAGGCATAGATTTTGAGTGGTAGAGTTAGCTTGTTACCCTGGAGGTGATTTTCTTCATTGTCAAATAATGCACTAAGAATCATACTCAACAACTGGGTTTTACTTAGTTCATTGTAATATAATACAGGCTTTTTAATAGTCTATACTATTATGATTGAATTTGAAAATTCTTTTCCAAAACTTTTACTCACTGCATACTTTATAAACACTGACTACTAGATGTGGCAGAATTTTAACAAGGTCATTCAGTTCTTCTTTGGAGGGTATCTTAATATCTCTTTTCCTTTCCATCACCAGAGAGAACCAAAAGTCCTAGAACAACTACATCTAAACTTTCTAAAAGCCCTGAACCTACATGGACAACACTGGGTAATGATATGTCCTTAGTGGATGCGTTGCTTCATTTCTTGGGAAATCCCGGACCCCGGCTCTTATGCAATATCTCCACCAGTATTCTAACGGGCTTGTTGCAACAGTACTGGGCATCTCATGTAGTACATTGACTCTGGCGTGCCTGGTTTTGGACAGCTGGCCCTATAGCAAGTGGATCAGAACGCAGAACTGCACAGCACCCTGTGCCTTGGAAAGCTGTTAAACCACTGCTTCTTTCTCATCTTCTGTCCAATCATTGTATTTGAAGTTGGGTCTTAAACAGAGTTCTCCATTTTTAAATTAAATTAAATTTTATTTAATTTTTTGCATAAGACCCTCAAGTTCAACATCAGTCTACATTTGGAAAAATGACTATTATGGTATTAGGAGAATTCCTTTATGCTGCAGATCATAGCATTCTACCTATCAGTAAATATTAATTTTAAAACATGTCTTTTTTCCCCCTGGTGCTTAAAGACCTAGATGTAGATAAGAAATATGAAATAAGGGTACAAAATGATTACACTGATTTTTTTAAAGCGTGGACTTAAAAATCACTGTCTTTGTGTAGTTATTTTGACTATTTAGTGGCAGTGCTATTTCTGTTAGGTCAAATATACTCTAGAAATGTTTTTTCAAACCAGATGAAAATTTATCACTGTATTTCCATTAACTGCTACTCTGTGAAATACTCTTTTAATGGACTATTTCCCAAATCTCCCAAGATGATTGGTTCATTCCACTTAAAGTATAGGTTTTCCTTTTGTAACTTTAGACACTGAAATGCCTAAATATTGATTTGTCGATTATTTTTGTCTCTTTATTTTTCCAGCTCCCAGTAAAACACAATTTATTTCTTTGAAACCTAAAATCCCTCTCAGCCCAGAAGTGACACACATCAAACCTGGTAATTACCCTGAATTTTTTTTTCCCTAATATTCCAAGAGTAGGGTTGAAAAGTGTTTCATGCCACTCTTTGGAGCAAGAACTTCTGGTTTGTATTTTGGTGTTTGACACATTTTGCCATGAGAAACGTGATAAAAGGATCGCATCATAACCAACCCCCCTGATATTGTCACGGCGTCGCTCTGAGCTGTGTGCAGGAGCATTATGTCATGACCACCTCAGAGAAGCCCCAGAAATAGAATGGTGTACCTGGTGGAGGACTCCCTTGTCTAGGACTATGAAATAGTTTCCAGTACCAAAGCTGACTGCAACTCTTACCACACTGAACAATCGGCTTTCAGGTAGAAAGGGAAGGACTGTTTCCATCCCCTGAGAGCTCTGCCTTGTTTAAAGCTTCTTAGTTTTCAGGCTATAGGACTAAAAAGGGTTTTATCTCCCCGATGCTCCATGACAGCTTTCTACAGTTGGGCTGGTTTCTGAACGCTGATTTCTGTTTACTTCTCAGGAGATACTAATGGTGCTTTGCTGGAGAAGAAAAGGCTCTTTTGCAGGGAGGGGTTATTCTGTGTATGTAATTCAAAATAGAGATAATTCCCTACATAAGGATTGTGGGACATATTGAAGGACCAAATCGTTGTTGTTTTTCTATCCAGAATCTATACAACAGTTTAGATGTTGACTTACATGATTGTACATATATGGATCTGTCACCACTCATCATTTTCATCTAAATTTTAAACCCTTAGCTCTGGGAAGAAAGTATTTCTCACTATACTGGTCAATGGATTTTTCATTAATCCATGTTTACAAAGTACGATTATTAAAGCAAGAGATTTTCTGCTTCAGTGGACATGATTTATTTTTTGCAATAAAATTTATAAGGAAGAAAAAATAACTGCTCAGAAAAAGAATCCTAGTGACTCTCTTTAAAGAGACAGTGAGATTTCCAGGTGCAGGTATCAGACCGAAGGAAATGAGGGATTAGGCAAAGGGAGTGTGACCATGAGTGAGGTCTCCTAGTAACAGAAAACAAGTGATGTAGCCTTACTCAGAAAGCCTATTTGGAGAAAGAGGCATAGCTAAGGATACTCAAGAGCCCTAGAAGTTTAAATCAAAGAACACAGACAGTGAGCTATATGAGAGAAGGGTTTTATGTACATTTATTTTTAAATCATGCTTGGAGAACTTTGGATTAAAATAGTAACTATTTATGTTATATTTTGAATAGAGGGCTGTTACCAAGCAGACTGAGAAATATTACTGTATGCTTGGGTCACCAAACTTAAATAAATATTTCTCCAATCTAATTACTTCTGTTACTACAAGTTAAAATGTGAAAACATCAAAAAATGTCTCCAAATGTTAATTACGATTTACACAAGATAATTTACATGGTTAATTTCAACATTTTCTAAAAAGTTAGTTCTGAGAGGCAGTTCATTAATATAAGTAAGAGTTGGAGGGTGTGTTATTATTCTAAGGTACTTGAGCAGAGACTTCCTAATTTGACATTTCCTTTTAAAGTGTAGAAAATTATTTGGAAGCTTAATGAGTTTATATTCCTTTCATGTCTACCTCCTAATCACTTGAGAATATTCATGCTTTTCCCCCTAACAGCAAGTACAGCCACTTCAGAACCTCACCTAAATTTATGCCAACTCAAGTTGACATTGAGGCAACACAGAGTAATGACCGGATGTCTGCAAACTGTTGCTTGGGTTTTAGCTTTTAAAAAATTTATTTATTTTTACCCTAGGGCAGGCCACCATTCTAGCTCTGCTGAAGATTTCTGTTTCTAGCCAAGGTTCAGGAGAGCAAATAAACCACCAAAAGCTATTGGATTTGAGGGATTTGTTGCCTTTCCCAGCCTTCTCCTCACACTCTCCTTTTTTTTCCATTCCACTTTCCATGCAGGCTGCTGTTCCTTTGGTTTTCCTTTGTGGTTAAACTAACAAGTAAAAACCACCATTGGTTTTGGCTTGTTTCATAAGCAGAATCCAGTGCTTTCTTGAACATCCCAGCCATTTACTCTGTCTCAACTCGTCTGCCTCATCCAATAAGAATTATTTCTTTCACAGTTAATCTTTAAGACTAATGACATTCAGCTCTTCAACTTTTAACACACTAAAAAGAGTCTTCCAATTAATTACAGGTGTGGTGGATGGATGGATCTGTACATTGTTGTTGTTAGCCACAAACCCATGAGCAAGTTGTCTTTTTCTTTGTTTCGTGCTGAGGCGAGTGGTGTAGTTATTTGCATGCCACTCAGTTTTTATGGAACATTTTTACATCTTAATCTATAACAGCTTAACATTGTCAGTAGGGGAAGTCGTCAAACATATATTTGCTTTTAATAAACACTGACTTTTTCTTACATGCAGGTGAATTGGAAGCTTCACTGATAGGGGTCCATATCTGTGTGGTCTCAGTCTATCAGGAATTCAAAACTGCAGGTTTTTCTTTATAAAATTAAAAGGAGTATTCTTTAATCTTTGTAAAGGCTAAAAAGTGCTATGAGCAGTCCATTTGAGTTTTTCACTCTTGTAGAAGGCAACTTTGTAGAAATTAATACATGAATTACAACCTTGAAGTTTTGAAAGAATTTTTGTTGTTTGCTATTTTCAGATGTGGATGCTTTTGATATTTGTTATATTTCATGTGTTGATGCTGCTATATTTTTTCCTGTTCTCCTATAGAATCTGAAACATCAAGCCCCCTCTTGTGCTCATGCTCTCTCTCTCTCTCTCTCTCTCTCTCTCTCTGCCAATTTGAATGAAATTGGAGGTTTGTTATCTGTTAGAATATTTAAATAATATTGTTATTCAATTTATTCAGCATTTCATGAAATCCAGCACTGCTTTTTGACTTCTGTTGATTTACTAACCAAAATGGACTCAATTTCATGTGTAAACCAATTTGTTCAGCAACAAATGCTACTAAATATGGAGAACAGCATAGGAACACTTTTTCCCCTTTTAGACCATATGTTCATTTTTCATAAAATATCATCAGATCCAGCCAGGCTGAGCATCATCCCAAACTAACAGAACTCAGACACACTTGCAGGTCTAACGGGTCTGCTGCCCATTTCCACTGGATGAACCTGACCGTCTTGCATGAAAGCAAATAGCAGGTGGGCAGGAGCTCCAAGCAACCTTTGTGAGGCTGCCCTGACCACCTGTTAATGGACTATCTCCTCAAGCACTAGAAGTGGTTTTCAGAATATTGGATAGTAGAGAAAGTAGCTAAAAATCTACCAAAAATTAGAAATCTTAATTCTTACTGTTTTTGTGGTTTGCAGAAAGGATGTGGGGTATTGAGCTTTTCTGTTGTTAAGCCAGTAGAACCTGATTGCTCATCAATGAGAGAATACTTTTTATACTAAAGGACATTTAGTTTTATCTCAGATGGTGCCCTTCAGTATTACCTTTGATAATACTTGCTTTTATTGCAGCCCCGGAACCTCAGATTCCAACGCCATCACAGTCAACCATAGGTAATGAAACTTCCTTTAGCTAGTGAAAAATTCTCTCTTTTTTACACTCTCTTTCTTCAACTTTATCCCTAACTTTGGCTTTTTTAAAAATTAATTTCACCCTCGCCGGTGTGGCTCAGTTGGTTGGCACCCTCCCAGGCCCATGCCCATGCCCATGCCCATGCCCCAAGGGTGCCGGCTGCATGCCAGGTCAGGGCACGTCCCTCATCTCCGGCAGGGGCCTGCAGGAGGCAGCCAATTGATGTTTCTCACATGATATCTCTCTCTCCCTCTCCTTTCCTCACTCTCCAAAAACCAATTATAAAAAATATTTTAAAAAGAGATTTAAAAGAAAAAATAATGAATTCATTTCTTCATTGTTCTTCAGATCTTTCGTTCAGCCATTTTTGCCAGAAGGTAAACTCTCTGCCTATGCTCAGTGAAGTAGAGGTTCTGGGACAGCATGAAAGCCACACTGATTTGGATTTGACACATTCTTGTTTTCAAATTTTATTTTATTTTATCTTATATGCTTTATTGTCCCTCCTTATTTTTGAGGAATGTGTCCCGAGCTGCTTTTAACCTGGCAGAGGACCGTGGCTTCCCTAGGATGTACTGCGCTTTCACACTTGGAGGTGTTTTTCTTCCTTTCAAAACTCCAACACTTGCAGATTTTCTTGAAAAACATTATGTTCTTTCCAGATCTAAATATCCTGATGTGTCAGTAGGAAATTCATTAGAAGACAGAAGTATAACATCTAACCCCAATCTTTATAGCTGCTTTTTCTTCAAGAGAGCAATAATGTGTTCTGCTGGTGCCGTCTTAGCCAATTACCCATATTTTCCTTCATAACACGAACTGTTGGTTACTTTATTGCATTCACATATTCCAAATAAGAATCATACCTTTTTCTTTCCATTTCTCTTTCCAAACTTAACTGACTGGCTATATTTTTGTTCATTTTGTCTAAAAAAAACACAGGGATCAATTTAAATAAAAAAGGAATTTCTTAGTGGATAAAAGTTTCATCGTTTATATTTGCTCAACTTAGTAATTAAAAATTAAGCATTTTTCATATTTAAATAGATTTCATCAGTTTTCCTTTTATTTTGATTCCTTCTTGATGGTGTTTCATGCAGTCTTAGAACCTGGAACACTGGGAACCAAAACTTCAACATTAGGTAATGCAGTTATTGAGTGAGTGACCTTTGTTTTCTCTTTTTCTGATTGCTGGTATCTTTATTAGCAGGATCACATTAATGGATTAATCCACTAATATTCATTTGTGTGTGTGTGTGTGTTCTCTGTTCTTCCAGAGAAAAAATTTTAATCTATAGTTTTACAAACTATTTTCATTTTTAAAGTTTACCTTCCCTGAAATAATTTCTGAATTCAAAGCCTTTTAACACATCTCTCTGATATGCAGATTTTTTTAATGTTAAGTGCAAAACTTTTCCTTTTGAATTGTAGGCCAAATAAATTTTAATTTTTATCCCTAGTGGCTTTTTAGAAGTAACTTTTCTCGTGTTCCTGTTGAACAACTACTTCCAAAATTTTTATGAGACTGTCTTCTCTATGCTACACAGAGTTCTGGGTTTTTCATCTCAAAATGGAAGGATAGGGGATCTCTTGAACAGTGATTGTTTATAAATCTTTGACCAAAAATATAATATATTATTGAAGACTTCACTTAACTGGATAAATAATGATAGAAAGTTGCAAGACAGAAGAGTACATATCCACACTAAATCAAAGAGCTTAAATGTGCTTCTAAGATATATGTGGTAGTATTTGTCCTGTATTAACCAGCTAATTTTCTTTCTTCAGCTCCACCAAAGACCAAACAACCAGGTCGTCGCCCTCGCCCTAAAACCACACGTAGTCCAGATGTGCCCAAGTCCAAACCTGGTAAATGTGATGTTCAGGGTTTCAATTAACACGGAAAGTAGAATATGATAGCTTGTGGTATAGTAGCTACCTACTACCTAAATTGCTGGACTTTAGGAACCACTGAAGTTGATTTCTATATTTAAGCATCTATACTTACTTTCCATATTCATGTTATATGAATATATATTTATATTTTCATTTACAGATGCACACCAGTGAGCTGACTCACTAAGTGTATTATTAAAGTAGGGCAGCCTAAAATCTTACATAGGATGTGTATTTGTGGCAGATGAGCTGAGGGAAAGCAGCAGGGAGGAAAGGAGGGAATGGGGGAGAATAAAAGAGGAAATCACACTGGGGAAAAACCACACAGTTTAAGTAAATATTGAGGAGTAATGTTTCCTTCCTCAAGAGGCCACGTCTTGATATAACTACTGTTTTTGGTTTTATGCTTCTATAGCTCTACAACCTGCTACAGTACACCAGCAGCTCTGGGTGCCCACAGTCGGTAATTCTCCTCTCCAGCTGCTCTCACATTACTTTTGCTTTTCCTACTCTCCACCCAGGCATGCCTGCATTTCTGCCACACCACCACCTTTCGTTCCATGCGCCCCCTCAATTTCCTATCTGGGTCTGAAGAGCCCGAAGATAGGAGACTTCTAGAAGAACCCCTGTGTGCTTATTTAAGGAAGGTCTAGTCTTGGACGCAACTTCCTGGTTCCCACTAACCCTCTCTTTCCATCACACGCGTCCTTGTGTCGAGACCGTCTGCCCTTTCGCAGGCAGGGGCCTCTGTGCTCATCCTGGACTTGACGGCAACATTGTTCTCCAGAGCCATGGTCATCATTTCATTGACTTACTCATTCAACCTGTATGACTTTCTCCCCTTTAATAAGCTGCATGAAATAATGGCTGCTTCAGATGTTTCGTTTCTTTAAAAAAATGTTTTTGAGTGTGTTTTGATAATTAGAAGCACAAATACTGTCTAGGGTCCAATATAAAAATAGGATGGTCTTTGTACCTTGAGACCATTAGAAGTCCCAAGCTGGTTTTATTGTTTTTAATACTAATGCTGTTTGATAATTATTTCAGTGTAAGTTCTCAGCATTCACAATAAATCTGTTGCTGTTTTACTCTAGGAAATTCCAGAAATCAGTAGCCATGTAACATTGTGTATAATTTCAAGTGTTAAGGATTATTTTCCAGGTCTCCTACTAAGCAAGTTTCAATTTTTTACCTTATTGTTTTTATACTGAAAAAAATCAATTTAATAGAACTATTATAGTTATCATGTTTGAAATTACTTATGTAGAAAAAACCCTTATTTTTGCTCAAAGACATATTTTGAGCCTTTCTTGAAGAGTTTTTCCTTTTGGAAACATAAGGAGAAATGGATACATGTCCTGCCCTTCCTACACCCGGGAGTTAATTTTGTTATATTTTCACTGAATTTGTATGGTATCTTGCTCAAGCATATGTGTCCTTAATTCTGACAGTTACAGCCATGACCACTATGCTAATTTTTTTTTTAATATGTCGATTTCAGAGGGAGAAAGGGAGAGAGAGAGAGATAGAAACATCAATGATGAGAGAGTCATTGATCGGCTGCCTCCTGCACACCCCCAACTGGGGATCGAGCCCGCAACCCGGGCATGTGCCCTGACCGGGAATGAAACCTCAATTTCCTGGATTGTAGTTTGATGCTCAACCACTGAGCCATGCCAGCTGGGTCATCATGCTAATTTTAATGCCTTTTTCTTTAGCATCAAAACCATCCCAAAGACCTAAAACTACACACTGACCAGACGTACCTCAAATCCAGCCTGGTAAATTTATCAAGGCAAATTTCAGTGCCTTGACCTATAACTAGGAAAACATTGTGTAAGTAATCTTAATCTTGCCCTTCACAGCTCTGCTATGACACTAATTACAGCACCTTTCTTCCTTCAGATTCAAAACCACCAAAGCAATTACTTCCTAAACCCCAAATCACAGCAAAACCCGATATGCCATCAACTAAATCCGGTAAACATAATTTCCGCTTTAGTTTAAGAAGCTCTTTCTTTGGGAATGTTGCTGAAAATGTTTACAATTTGTTATATCACGTAAAACAGAGAAACCCAAGTACAGAACCATGATTTTGTTCATTGTCATCTCAAAATAGTCACACTGATATTTTAACTGTTCAAGGAAGAAATCAATGTGTGGGAAATCAGTAAATTTTTCAACCAATACTGACAGATTCCATTTTCTTAAAGAACTTTTTAGGTTTTGTTTTCTGAATTGGGGTTTGTAATGAATAGGTGCCTGGTTTTTCTGTATCAGGAGCATTTCTGAAAGCCATTTGAGCAGCCACCCCTGGGCAGCACTTGGGAGCCTGACACTGTGTCCTTCCTTTATGGGCACATAATCAGAGCAGGGCCTCCTCTAAAATACCTTATTGACATCTTAAACAGTAACTACTTACTAAGCAATTTCCTGCCAAATAAGGAGATATTTATATAACAGTTCTGAAAAATTCCACTGTTTTGCAATTGAAATTTTCTCCTAAGATTCCAATTAGTATAAAATTCTAACTTACTAAGAGAGAATCTCTCATTATAAATAAGCCTTTCAAGAAGAAAGCAATTTATATCAATTTAGAATAAACCAGGTTCTGTAGTCTGTGAATTAAGCATCAGCGAGCACCTAAAAATTTAGACTTACTGCTTTTATTATTTATGTCTGTTTATTTTTTATGATGCAGTCTTTGAGCCCATTACATTTGAGGCCGAAGCTCCCTCCATAACCATAGGTAATGATGGGCGTCTTCCTTCTTGGTCAGTGTTTCTCTGGGCTTGCCCCTCTCATCTCTGTCATTGTCTGTACTCCCTTAGGTAAACAATTTTTCACCATCTTTTTCATTCATTTCCAGCATTGTTAGGATCTTTTTAACATTATTAGGCTGTCTTACATCTACTGCTCTGCTTAACCCTGAATGCTGGTCACTTTCTTCGGTCACCTTCGGAGACATTCAGGTTGCTTCCAGCACTTGATGCTGTCAAGAATCACGGGTGTTCTCTCCGTCCATCCTTCAGACCAGGCAATTTTTGAGATCTCTGTTTTTATGTGTATAATTTATGGGTGTGGGAGAGGAGCAGTGAAAAAGCTGATTGGGGCGTGATGCAAACATAATTGTTTCTTTCTTGAAAACTCTCTTGCTTCCTTGATTTCATACTATCCAAGCGCAACTTGAATGAATGTCAGTTTTCTGTTGACAAATTCATCTTATGAAGCTGGATTCCAAACAAAATAGGGAACCCCCTTTTCTGTTTGAAGGCAGTCGGGTTGAATATTGTTTTCATCTTGTCCTCGCTTTCTCCCCCTCTTTTCTCTGCCATGTTTTCCATTATTTCAGAAGATGTCCTCAGATGTGGCTTAATCTGAGTCTGTGCTGTGTGTCTTGGGCAGTCAGTGAAAGGCAATGTTCATACAATTGCTTATAGGGGTTTTGGTGATAAAAATATTATAATGTTACATTTAATCTTCTGAATTTAATGAAAAATAGAGACACTCATTTAAAATAACTAAGGAGTTAATAAATCTTAATTTCATCTCTATGCATAATTTAATTGTTGCAGAATACTATAGAATTTTAGGAATCCTCTTTAGCCAGAGAAAAAGTTGAATTATTGCTTTTCAGACTTTTTTCTTAATCATCTCTGTTTCCCACTTGAATAATTATCTCCTAATTATCCACTTGAAATAAATGAATAAATAAAAAACAGTAAGAAGGAGTATCACATTGATTCTGGAGGAAGGCAAATTTTTATCTTTTGCATAACTGTCACAGATCTCTGATAAACAGACTGATTATGATTTTTAAAAATTCTCACCACCACCACCATTCCTCAAAACAAATAATAATGGTGGTAAAAGGTTTTCAGATACAAACGGAGGCGTCTCTAATAATTTTTCAGAGTAATTTAACATACATATCAGACAACTAATTGTCTGATTTTTTTGGATCCAAGTTTCCAATATCGTTGGAATCAGGTAGTTAAACACAGAAAGAAAAGGCTTTTCATTGGCCCAATAGAAATGCAAAGTTCAAAGAGTATGGCTATTTTGTGGGACAAATGGATACCAGAGTACAGCCAAGTTACTAGAGAACAAATACTATTTTTCCAGAGTCCACAGCTGCTTTTTAAACAGTACAGAGTTAAAATTTATTTTCAAGGTAATTTTGTCTTTTGCTATGTTTCTTAAACCTCCATTGCTTATTGTATTGCTTTTGGTCAGTTCCTGCCACAGACTTTGAACCTGTAACTCTGAGAACTGAGGCTCCTTGGACAACCCTAGGTAATGACCTTTTACGTCTTTATGTGAGCAAGTGCTTTTTCTGCTCATTGCGCACGCTGTTCCATTACTGTCTTGGGCAAGGGCTTTTCCCCTTCCTAAGGTTTCCTCATCAACCTCTCTTGTCTCTCAGCTAGATTCTTTGCTTGGACTGTACTTATGTCTAAAACAAGTTACTTGGTTAGAATAGAAGCCTGTTTGCAGCTAGTGCAGAGCATCCCCCATACTACTCAACTTTACTACTACTTTACAGAGCCTGTGATTCTGCTCAGTGTTCGGTGGTAAAGCTGAATTTCAAATGCACTTAGGAGGGTCTGCCCCATAAACATCATTTATAACTCTGTGTGCAACATGAGAAAGTTATTTTAAGATATGCAGAGCATTTTTGTTGTCTACCAAGGATTTTAAGAAATCAGATGTACTTTTTCTAATAATGTTTAATAATGTTTAATGAGATGTATGCCTGACTGAAGTATCTGAAGTATTATCTAAATACAATCTCCCAAAAGTGAGTCTGGGTCACTCTCTAAACATACATGCTACACTTCTGACTTCCCTTGGGTCAGGGTCATCTTTGAAAATCTGACACTAGCAATAATAACACTTTCAGATTATTCTAATAATGTGTAGTTTTTTTCAAAAGAGCTATTAGGAGATCCCCCCAAAAACATTTTTTTTGCATATGGATGACAAAATTTTGAAATAGAGATCAATTTCTGCAGATTCAAGAAAATCTAGCAAATTTTAGAAAACCTAGTGCCATCTTTAAATCATTTTTTTAGTTTCTAAAGTCAGTGATAATAACCAGTTTTCTTTCTTCAGCTCCAAAAACATCAAAAAGACCAAGAACACGTCCTTCACATCCCAAACGTCCAAAAGGTCCCAAACATCCCAAACGCAAAACCACGCCAACCCCAGAGGCACCTCAGACCGCACTAGGTAAATATATGGTTCCTGGTGCCTGTGGAACTTCGTCGGATGTGATACTGGGGTGACAATTTAACTTGCCACGTAATAACCACTGTGACTCTTAAGGGTGAAGGTCCTAGTCAATACCCGTGGCTTCCTTACCCTGCTTGGTATTTTCTTGGTACATGTGTATTTTGGTTTTTTTATTTGCTTCTCTGACCATTGAATTACATTTTTCTCTGTGATTCTGGCGAAGTTCATTTTCAAGAGGATTTGATGACTTTTCTCATGTGCTTAGCATTTCTTTTTTTAAATTACTTTTGATCGTTTCTTGCTACAGAAATTGAACCTGTCACTCCTGGGACACCTTTAGGTAATGATTCTTTATGTCCTTCAGCGAGAGCTTTTTCATATTCGTTGTCCAACTTATCTATGGTGCTATATGCATGATGCTGTCATAGTTTGTCATCCTATGACTGTACTCATCTTAAAACCTAAAAGGCTTTCTTTCTAATAGAAAGGGGTATGGGCTTAATTCAGGACAGCTGTCTCCTCCACATCCCAGCTTGAAACTGCACCTCTATTTAAACAGGCCCCAATGTGATTATCTCCATCTCCCTTATTTAGACCACCAGAACAGTATCAATTATAATACCACGAAGTTTCTCCAAGTACCTCACTTTCTACATTTCAAGTTTTACATACCTTTTTGTCTTCACTTTGTTGATGTTTCAACAAATTTTGTGTACTATATTCTAGTAAATTACCAAGTGGGAATTTTCCCCAAGCCTAGTCATTTTCAATTATTATAAGTGGATACTATAGAGTGGTTTGAACTTCTCTCTTACCATTATAGTTTAGCAGTGATTTGTAATCAGTTTTGGATTAGGGACTTTTCAAGAAAACCAAAGTTCCTCAGTTTTATTTCTTAAACATCATTGCTATGTAATTTTTAATCTCTGGAACACTCTTAATTACAAATGAAAACCTATTAATATACTAAAGGAGAAAGTTCCAAACCAAAGCAACAAAGTTTTTTCTACTAAAGAAACTCTGACAAGGTGTAGAAAGCTTAGAGCTACGTTTTATCAGAGTTTTATCAGGCCATCGACACTGTATTAATACTGAATCTTCTTTCTTCAGCTCCAAGAAAAACAAAGAAGCCCCGTCGCCTACGTCCCAAACCTAAAACCACACCCCATGCAGAAGTGCCTCAGATGCCACTGGGTAAATATGTGGTTTCTGGTTTAAGGACTCCAAGTAGCCTACCCCAGTCGGGACCCTAAATTCTATGCACATATTGGTACATGCCCCATATATCTGTTAAGAGTCAAAGTACCGGTTAGGACATGTGCTGTCTAAGTACCTGGTGCTTCCTGTGTGGGAATCTTCTCCATCAATGTTCCTTTTACTAACTTTTCTTATTATTTGATTCCATTCATGTCTTAACGATAAAGCTTGCTCAGTAAAGTCCTGAGCCTACATAATCAATTCAACTACTTTTATTAATCCCTTCTCAATCCCCGTAACTATATTAGCAGCTGTGAGATACATCAGAAGTAGGAAGTATGTTTTATTTCCCAGTTTGTACTATAGTTGTAAACAAAAGCTGTTTCTGCATAAACAAGTAGGAAATAACTTAAGGCAGCATGTTTATATGAATGTAAAATAAGTTCCCAAATGGCACTGTTGCTATGTGCTAGGGGAGTGGTAAATATCTGGAGCAGGAGAAACTCCAGGATAATTAGAAAGAAATCAATAGAGAACTTGGACTAGTGGAGGACAAGCAGGGAATGTGTGGAACCCGAGACAGAGGATGACTTGCCGATGCCCTCCTGTTAAATGGGCTCATAGGATGAATTAAAGGGGAGTCTGGGATGTCTACTCAAGAGCTTAAATTTGATCCAGTGGGCTTTAGTGATCCTTTTTCTGCACCAGAGCATGCTTTTTCTATTCTTAGCCCTGAAGATGCCTAGTCTAATACGATATCACAGAGGTGGTTCCTCACCTCGGATAGTAAATGCCATTGTTTCCGCTGAGGATTGGTCTCTTAGTATAGTCTCAGCTTCCTTGGGCTACCTGTTGTATGTGTGGTAGGCAGACCCTAGGGTGACCCCCTGCGCCCCACCCCACTTCACCTCCCACCCCCTAGTTCCTGCCTCTTGGTGTTGAAGCTTTTCTGTAATTCACCTTTTCCCTCTCCCCCCCCTCCCTTAGAAGCCTTACTTTTACTGGCAAGATGAATTTTCTGACATCTCACTCATTCATAAAAATCTCTTTGGTTTCTTTTATTACTTTTGATCAGTTCCTGCCACAATCTTTGAACCAGTTGTTCCTAGAACCGAGGCTCCTGGGACGACACTAGGTAATGACACTCTGTGTTCATCAGCATCTGCTTTTCCTGCTCATTTCAGACCCATTTCATCGCCCTCCCAGCCACGGCTCCTCCCGCTTCACAGGACTTCTGTGTCATCCTCTACTGCCATCAATGACTTCTTAGTGTATTGAAGAGTGTTAAAACAACTTATTTGTTTTAAGAAAGCCAAGTATAACAAGCATAATCCTACTCACAGCTTCTGGAACTAAAGCACTCTTTTAACCAGAGGTTTTCTTCCTTTAGCTCCCAAAGTGCCTGAGCAAATTCATCATCCACGTCCCAAACCTAAGGCCACAGCAAGTCCTGAAGCACCTCAGGCCGAACTGGGTAAATGTGTAGATCCTGGGGGAGGAGCCTGGCGGTGGGGCCCAGAGAAAGGGGGCAGCAAGTCAGGGCCGGCGGCTGCCTCCACTCCACAGCAGGCTTGAGCACACAACTGGAGAGGTCTTGGTGGAAGCCAGATTCCTCATACTTTGTGAATTGGCATCTTCTCTCTAAATGTCTATTTAATTGACTTCTTATTAGATTCTACTCATCCTTTAGATATTGAAATTGTATCCTGGACTGAAACAACTACAGAACGATGTGTGTTTGGGCAAACAGAAACTTATTTCTTGGTAACTATAAAAACTGTGTAAGTCACAGTGATGATCTAGGGCCAGATTTGGTGAATCTTTTCTATAAACAGCTAGATAGTAAATATTTGGGGGCTTTAGGGACTATAGAGTCTTTGTTGCATATTTTTCTTTTTTCCTGTTTCCCCTTTTTTTTTTACACAATCTATAGGAAAGAAAAGCATTCTTTGCTCTCATGGGCTATTTGAAAACAAGCCATGGACAAGATCTGGCATAGGGGACATAGTTTATAGGGGCAGGGGGTGAAGCAGTAAGAAAGGAAGGGCATGTAGAAGCCAGTGAGAGGGGCAGAGGCTTCTCTGACCGATGCAGGCTGCCAGGCTTCTAAGTGCTGATGGCAGCATTTCACTGAGGTTGCTGCAGCTACATGGGCCCATAGGACCAGTCAAAAAGGGATCTTGAATGTTGGACTTAGGAGTTTGGATTTCATGTAAGAATCATCAGGACCCGCAATGGTCCAGCTTTCCTGAAGCACTGGGCAGAGAGAGAGAGCCTGGCATACCTCAGACCGAACGGCTGCCCCTTAACTGCTGCTCTCTCAAGTCCCCCGGTGGTCTCTTTCCAAAGATGAGTTTTCAGCAAGATGGGTATGGTCGACTTTGGTGCATTAATTAGGTTAGATTCATCATCAAAGTGAGGGAGAAACTTCAGAGGCACTTCACCGGAACAGTTACCTGAGTGCAAAGACAGTCTCTAAGTGATGCATTGGTACCTGGGTGCAGAGATGCCGCATCCCTCAGGTCGGAAGGCTAATAGTGTTTGCTTTGTAGTCTAGACACATTATTACTTTGGTACAGTTCTTTTTGAAGTGAATGTTCTGAGATTATATAGATGTTTACCATTTCATTGCTTTATTATTATTATTTTTGGTCAGCTCCTGGTATAGTCCTTGAACCAGTTACTCCTATGGAAGAGGCCCCAGGGACAGCATTTGATAATGCCACTTTCTGACCTTCAGCAAGTGCTTTTTTGTGTGTGTGCATTGTCAAACCCATTCCACTTTCTTGCCATTCAGTTACACTCTTCATCTTATGAGTTGCACATGCATAAAACAAGTTACCTCTTGTCCTTGAGAGAGCCGTGCCTAAACTTAGTCTGGGATAGCTTGTTGCCCTGTGACTTACTTTAAAATTTTTTCGTACCACCTAATGTTTTTAGATTAACCAGAGTGCTCTGTTAAGGTAAATTATAATATCTGTGGAAATGCCTGATTCTGATCTATACTAACCAGACTGAAATAGGAAAGTGTCATTATACAACCTTTGTACATTTACCTTTTTATCTGCCTGTTTTTCTGTTCGAGTAATATATTTTTTGTGAATTGTCTAACAGATAATGTGATCAAGGCCAATAAGTTAAAATAGCAAGCCCCGTCCTTAGGGTTAATCTGACTCCCCCTTACTCTCCACCACAGTTTAGAAATGCTCCTTAACCTTTTTTAATGCAGTCAGGGAACTCAAGAATAATGTGAAAAATACCAATCTGACTCTCTGAATTAATAACTTCATTTTTATATCAATTTCCCTCTGCAGGCTGGAAGTCTTAAGATCAAAGTGTCAGCAGGTTTAATTTCCCCTGAGGCCTCTTCCCTTGGCTTGCAGATGGCCACCGTCTTGCAAGACCATGTCCTCACGTGGTCTTTTTTCGGTGCACAAGGGTCCCTCCTCTCTCTTCGTCTTCTTATAAGAACATTAGTCCTATTGAGTTAGGGTCCCACCCCTCATTTAACCTTAAATGCCTTTTTAAAGGCCCTATCTCCAAATATAGTCACAATGGGAGTTAAAGCTTCATATGAATTTTAGGGATACATAATTCAGTTCATAACTCCCTTCATCCAGAAATTTAAAAATATATATATTTTAGAGGTGATAGTACAATGGCAAGATTCATTTTGAAGTAAATGTTGTAGCTCTTGATACATTATTTTAAAAACTCTTTTATTCAGTTCCTGTTACAGACTTTGAACCTGTTACTTTTACAACTGAGACCTCTGGGACAACATTAGGTAATGACTCCGTGCCATTTGCCAAGTGCTTTTGCAGTCCATTCCGCCTCCACTCCCATCTCATGGCTTTTCCTTTTTATGAGACAGCCTCTGTCATCAATATTCCATTGCCATTCAATCACTTCCTTCACCTGAAGAGTACTGAAGCCTCTTAAAAACAAGTTTCCTGTTGTTTTTATGAGAGCAGGCATGAGCTTAGTCCAAAACATTTACCTGTCATGTGGTGCATTTGAAACTGTCATGTCATCTTGTGCCTCTTTGAGCAGTGAGTGTTCTGTGTTAAAGCTGAGTTTAAAACAAATTGGGATCTATTTCTTAACTAGGCTGATTTTCAAAAACAGCTACTTTTATGTTCCTTTGCACATCTAAGTTTCTAGATTTTTAAAAAACTACTTGCGTGTTATGTTGTTTCTTTCTTGGTGCTTTAAGTACTGATGTGTTTTATTACTAATTTGACAAATAAGGAATCTCCCAAATCTGAAATTACAAGCCTCTTCCTTAGCATGACCCTAACTTCTCCTCCCCTTGCACCAGTGGTGGGCCCTCCTTCTCAATCATTTTTCCCAATGAGAAAATACTCTGAGTACCTGATTACACACGCTCGTCTTCATGACTTGAATGAGTGATTCCGCTATTTATATGAGTTTGCCCCCAAAGTGCCCTCAGTAATAAAAAGAAGACACATTGGCATAAAATGAGTAAAAATTTTAAACTACAGACAGTTTCCTGGAACTTTAGGAAATTTAACAGGTTTTGGAAACCCCTGCCCCTTAGTATCAAGAGCATAAGATCTAGGGTAACACAAGGCTTTTCTTTCTTCAGCTACCAAAGCATCAAAAAGACCCCACCGTCCACATCCCAGAACTAAAACCACACCGAGCCCTCAAGTACCTCAGACCAAACCGGGTAAATGTGTGATTCTTGGTTTAAGGATGAGCCCTAGTAGCCTAGTGAGGACCCGAAGCAGTGCCAAGCTCTTATTTTCTCTAATCATGAGGTTGAGGCATAGTCAGTAATGTCTCTTCTTCCCAGGTGTCGAGGAGAATATGACTGTGTGAGATACCATGGTGCCAGAATATCTTATTATTTCTATGTGAGAACCTTCTTCGATATGCATTTAGTATATTTCTTACTATCAAATTTTATTCAAATCTTAAAACTTCTTTAGCAGAGTCAATATATTCAGTTCAAGTAAATAAACAAATTGTAAGCCCCTTGTATATTTCTGGACCAATATTGGCAACCGGGGGTGATAATGTCAGCTGTAGGAGACCTATTTTATTTCTCAAACAGTAAAGTTGAGTACATGTTTGCATGATACAAACACTAAATACTGATCTTGCAAACGAAAAGATCAAGGTGGATTGGACTTAGACCTTGGACCCACTACCGGGTTTGAATGAATTGAGGGAAAATTGAACCAACAGAAGAAAGAGCCAGACATGTGGGTGGGGTAGGGGTGGGTCAGCCGTGAAGGCGTCCAGTCTGCCTGAAACAGACTGTCCTACTTCTAGATAATCAAAACATGGCTGTTGTTGATGCTGCATTTAGAAGGGTCCATCTACACAGAGTCGAAAGAGGATTTTGAGGACCTGACTCAGGAGCTTAGACTTGATACAGAGACATAACTGTGACTCCACTTTTTCTGGGCTTAGGCAAGACACATGCTCTAAGTGTTAGACTGAGTGACTCTTTATTCTGCTCCCTTATGTGCCATGGTTTGGGGAGGGGACTCATCCTCTTTCCATAGGTGTGTTCTTGGCAAGATCAACATAGTCCACTTCAATGATTAATTTTTATATCTATTTCAAACTTATAAACCGTCTATTTATCCATGTTGACTTGAACATAGTTAAGTATTCATGTTCAGCTTCCATAGAAGTACAAGTTGATCAGATTTTTTAACAGTTTCTTTTCTAAGTGTATATTAGAAAATACACTTAGAGTTTTCCATACCAGTTAGAATATATTAAAACCTAAGAGAATTTCATGCTGACTTTAAGATACTAAGCTAGTTCAAAGGCTAATCCTAAAACTGACTGTGAATGTAAGTTGGCCAAATCTTCAAAGAACAAACCCTTTTTCTTAGTTATTCTTTTCTTTGTTTCTTAGAAGGATTGTATAGAAGCATGATTGTTTGGGTGTGAATGTTCTAATTTTTCATGTATTTTAAAACTTCTTTGGTTTACTGTATTTTTTGGTCAGTTCCTGCTACAGTCCTTGAACCTGTCACTCTTAGACCAGAGGTCACAGGAACAACATTAGGTAATGATACCCTGTGTTTTCAACAAGCTTTATCCTGATTATTGTAAAATCCAGAGTCTCATCTGGCTTCATGAGACAATAGTGTCATCCTTTGTGGTCATTCATTTACATTCTTCTTAAAATTATGAAAACTGTTTTTTATTGAATTTATTGGGGTGACATTAGTTAAGAAAATTATATAGGTTTCAAGTATACAATTCTACAATACATCATCTGTATATTATATTGTGTGTTCACCACCTTAAGCCAAGTCTCCTTCCATCACCACTTCCCCCCCCCTTTACCCTCTTCTACCTCCCCCA